TATATATAGTATGACGTGTATGTATGTGTATATATATACAATATGTGTGTGTATACATGTGTTGTGTATACATATATATATATAACATTATGGTGTGTATTATATAATGTATTATATATAATATGATATTTTAACATAGACCCGGGCAAGCCGGCGGCGGAAGTTTCCCAAACATAAATGACCTATAGTTCGACGCCAGCCTGTCCCGACCGTGTCCTTCCCTCGACAAGCGGCTTTTTTTTCAGCGAGAGACGAAGCAAAGTCTTCACACTCCACACTTCGCACTCCACACTTCACACTGCACTCTTCGCACTCGAAACTTCACACTTCACACTCCACACTTCGCACTTGCACACTTCACACTTCTCACTTTTCGCTGCTGCCTTCACACTCCAAACCTCCCACTTCACACTTCACACTGCGCTCTTCGCACTCCAAACTTAAACTTCACACTCCACACTTCACACTCCACACTTCACAGTTCACACTTCTCACTTACTTCCCACTGCTTCCTTCTCACTTCGCACTTCACACTCCACACTTCACAGTCCACACTTCACACTCCACACTTCACACTCCACACTTCTCACTTCTCACTGCTTCCTTCACACTCCAAACTTCACACTTCACACTTCTCACTTCTCACTGCTGCCTTCACACTCCAAACTTCACACTTCACACTTCTCACTTCGCACTTCACACTTCACAGTCCACACTTCACACTTCTCACTGCTTCCTTCACACTCCAAACTTCACACTTCTCACTTCGCACTTCACACTCCACACTTCACAGTCCACACTTCACACTTCTCACTTCTCACTGCTGCCTTCACACTCCAAACCTCACACTTCACACTTCACACTCACTCTTCGCACTCCAAACTTAAACTTCACACTCCACACTTCACACTTCTCACTTCCCACTGCTTCCTTCACACTGTACACTTCACACTGCACTCTTCACACTCCACACTTCACACTGCACTCTTTGCAGTCCAAACTTCACACTCCACACTTCACAGTCCACACTTCACACGTCTCACTTCTCACTGCTTCCTTCACACTCCAAACTTCACACTTCACACTTCACACTTCGCACTGCACTCTTCACGCCCCACACTTCACACTGCACTCTTCACACTCCACAGTTCATCTCATCTGAGCTCTTCTCACCTTATCCCAGCTCATCTCTTCTCATCTCGTCCCTTCTCGTATGTCATCTATTAACCTTTCATTAATCAATTCCCAGCACTACTACAAATCACTGTCGAACCCTTGATGCACCCACTCCAATACGATTTACGAAGTCCAGTTGCAAAAGACAATAGTATTGCGCATGCAGCCGCGGCACCAAGCAACCTTGACGCAGCCATTACAATGCGATCTGCAAAGACTGAGTTGCAAAACACAATAGAACTACGCGCAACTGGGTCGGAAATTGTAGCTCCAAAACCGGGGGTCTCGACGCCAAAGCGAAAAAAAGACGATTTTGAAGCACTTTTCAAAAGAATTTTTAAAAAGAAAATCACTGGCGCCAAAATGGAGAAAATCTGCTGACAAATCACTGTCGCAGCCTTCATGCAGCCACTCCAATACGATTTACGAAGTCCAGCTGCAAAAGACAATAGTATTACGCATGCAGCCGTGGCAAGAAGCAACCTTGACGCAGCCATTACTATGCGATCTGCAGAGACTGAGTTGCAAAACACAATAGAACTACGCGCAACTGGGTCGGAAATTGCAGCTCCAAAACCGGATGGATCTCGACGCCAGAGCGAAAAAAAGACGATTTTGAAGCACTTTTTAAAAGGATTTTTAGAAGGAAAATCACTAGCGCCAAAATGGAGAAAATCTGCTGACAAATCACTGTCGCAGCCTTCATGCAGCCACTCCAATACGATTTACGAGATCCAGCTGCAAAAGACAATAGTATTACGAATGCAGCCAAAGCAGGAAGCAACCTTGACGCAGCCATTACAATGCGATCTGCAGACACTGAGTTGCAAAACACAATAGAACTACGCGCAACTGGGTCGGAAATTGCAGCTCCAAAACCGGATCTCGACGCCAGAGCGAAAAAAAGACGATTTTGAAGCACTTTTTAAAAGGATTTTTAGAAGGAAAATTACTAGCGCCAAAATGGAGAAAATCTGCTGACAAATCACTGTCGCAGCCTTCATGCAGCCACTCCAATACGATTTACGAGATCCAGCTGCAAAAGACAATAGTATTACGAATGCAGCCACAGCACGAAGCAACCTTGACGCAGCCATTACAATGCGATCTGCAGAGACTGAGTTGCAAAACACAATAGAACTACGCGCAACGGCGTCGGAAATTGTAGCTCCAAAACCGGATCTCGACGCCAGAGCGAAAAAAAGACGATTTTGAAGCACTTTTTAAAAGGATTTTTAGAAGGAAAATCACTAGCGCCAAAATGGAAAAAATCTGCTGACAAATCACTGTCGCAGCCTTCATGCAGCCACTCCAATACGATTTACGAAGTCCAGCTGCAAAAGACAATCGTATTACGCATGCAGCCACAGCATGAAGCAACCTTGACGCAGCCATTTACAGTGCGGGAACGATCCTACAGTTGCAAAGCACAATGGAATTCCATCGGCAACTGATCCACCAGCACCACTTGCAATCCCATTTACAATGCGGAACCGATCCGAGACCAATCCGCCCATGATCCGAGGATGATCCGACCACACACGAGACCGTCTCGCAACCGTCGCACCGCAGAGGTAGATCATCGCGGTTCGGGGACGGACTTTGTATGGAAAAACATAGGCTTTCGTGCATCTGCTATCTCTCAAAAACGCATTTCGTGCGAGACTTTCTGCAAAACTCCATCGGCAACTCCTCCACCAGCACCACTTGCAATCCCATTTACAGTGAGGGAACGATCCTAGAGTTGCAAATCACAATGAATTCCATCGGCAACTCATCCACCAGCACCACTTGCAACCCCATTTACAATGCGGGAACGATCCTACAGTTGCAAATCACAATGGAATTCTGTCGACCACACATGCACGAAAAACAGTTGAAACCCCATTTACAATGCGGAACCGATCCGAGACCGATCCGAGCATGATCCGACCACACACGAGACCGTCTCGCACCCGTCGCACCGCAGAGGTAGATCATCGAGGTTCGGGGACACACTTTGTATGGAAAAACATAGGGTTTCGTGCATCTGCTATCTCTCAAAAACGCATTTCGTGCGAGACTTTCTGCAAAACTCCATCGGCAACTCCTCCACCAGCACCACTTGCAATCCCATTTACAGTGAGGGAACGATCCTAGAGTTGCAAATCACAATGGAATTCCATCAGCAACTCATCCACCAGCACCACTTGCAACCCCATTTACAATGCGGGAACAATCCTACAGTTGCAAATCACAATGGAATTCTGTCGACCACACATGCACGAAAAACAGTTGAAACTCCATTTACAATGCGGAACCGATCCGAGAATGATCCGAGAATATCCGAGAATGATCCGACCACACACGAGACCGTCTCGCACCCGTCGCACCGCAGAGGTAGATCATCGACGTTCGGGGACGGACTTTGTATGGAAAAACATAGCTTTCGTGCATCTGCTATCTCTCAAAAACGCATTTCGTGCGAGACTTCCTTCCAAAACTCCATCGGCAACTCCTCCACCAGCACCACTTGCAATCCCATTTACAGTGAGGGAACGATCCTAGAGTTGCAAATCACAATGGAATTCCATCAGCAACTCATCCACCAGCACCACTTGCAACCCCATTTACAATGCGGGAACGATCCTACAGTTGCAAATCACAATGGAATTCTGTCGACCACACATGCACGAAAAACAGTTGAAACCCCATTTACAATGCGGAACCGATCCGAGAATGATCCGAGAATATCCGACCATGATCCGACCACACACGAGACCGTCTCGCACCCGTCGCACCGCAGAGGTAGATCATCGAGGTTCGGGGACGGACTTTGTATGAAAAAACATAGGGTTTCGTGCATCTGCTATCTCTCAAAAACGCATTTCGTGCGAGACTTCCTCCAAAACTCCATCGGCAACTCCTCCACCAGCACCACTTGCAATCCCATTTACAGTGAGGGAACAATTTCTTTGCTAACTCTTTCTTTGACTCACTCTTTTCCTCACTAACTCTTTCTTTGACTAACTTGTTTCTTTGCTAACTCTTTCTTTGACTACCTCATATATCCTGACTAACTCTTTCTTTGACTAACTCTTTCCCTCACTAACTCTTTCTTTGACTAACTCTTTCCCTGACTAACTGTTTCTTTGCTAACTCTTTCTTTGACTAAACTCTTTCTTTGCTAACTCTTTCTTTGACTAACTCTTTCCCTCACTAACTCTTTCTTTGACTAACTCTTTCCCTGACTAACTGTTTCTTTGCTAACTCTTTCCCTGACTAACTGTTTCTTTGACTAACTCTTTCTTTGACTAACTCTTTCCCTGACTAACTGTTAACTCTTTTTGACTAACTCTTTCCCTCACTAACTCTTTCTTTGACTAACTCTTTCCCTGACGAACTCTTTCTTTGCTAACTCTTTCTTTGACTAACTCTTTCCCTCACTAACTCTTTCTTTGACTAAACTAACTGTTTCTTTGACTAACTCTTTCCCTGACTAACTGTTTCTTTGCTAACTCTTTCTTTGACTAACTCTTTCCCTCACTAACTCTTTCTTTGACTAACTCTTTCCCTGACTAACTGTTTCTTTGCTAACTCTTTCTTTGACTAACTCTTTCCCTCACTAACTCTTTCTTTGACTAACTCTTTCCCTGACTAACTGTTTCTTTGCTAACTCTTTCCCTGACTAACTGTTTCTTTGACTAACTCTTTCTTTGACTAACTCTTTCCCTGACGAACTCTTTCTTTAACTCTTTCTTTGACTAACTCTTTCCCTGACATTCTAAAAGTCCGTAACACGGAAGTTTCTCCCCCTAAACTTCCTTTGATGATATATTTTATTGTCAGAAGAAAAAACTGTAGAGGTCATACTGCCAACTAGCGTCCCCAACTTCACCAAAAATGTTGTATTGCGCCAAGGCAAGTTGCCCTAGGCGACACAGCTCGGGTGTGTACAACACACCATAGACGTCGAGGTGCATGTTTTGCCTGAACAGGATCCCAACCATTGGCTGAAGCGTCTCAAAAGATCTAAGGAATAGCCTCTGGTTATGTCAACAGTTAGCTATTGAAAATCACCATTTATAGTGGATTTTCCCATTAAAAATAGTGATTTTCCATAGTTTTTTGTATGTTTACCAGAGGGTAAGGAATAGTGAAAAAATGTTAAGAATGGCTTCTGGTCTGGAAACCCGTTGCCATGTTCCTACCATATGATATCTATGATATCCTGAGGATATAATGTGGATACCCTCTGGGAAAAAAAAAGAGTTTGCGAACTGGAAAATGGCCCATGGAAATAGTGGATTTACCCATCAAAAATGGTGATGTTCCATCGTTTTTTGTATTACCAGGCCGGGTAAACTCAAATTTTCAATGGTCTCTACTTCTTCTTGCTATCCCATCCCACCTCTTGGCAGCCATGACCCAGTCCGCACCAAGCTGCACGGAGACGGAGGTCCAACCCCTGGTTTTGAAGTTGGCTCTCCGTAGTTTGCTTTGCTTTGGGAAGTCCTAAGTGAAGTTTCTGTGGCTTCGGGCTGGTTTTTTGGGGGATGGAACAAAAATTGGTATTGCCATAGGATTTGTAACCACCGTCAGTTGGTATAATCATGGGATGTTCAACCACCATCTGTTGTGACATGGGGCACCTACTATAACTCGCGCTATATTTCCACTTCGTTCACTGGAACTGCACTTCAAATAAGGGGTACCGGCAGCCAACCCAAAAATGGAGGTGCTGGATGCCTATGACTGGATAGAAATCTTATGAAATCTTGGCAGGGCGGCATCAAACTCAAATGATCAACATAAGATACTCATGGTACGGTGGCAACGCAGGTGTGACAGTCGCAATGTTGCGGCATGAGTTTCCCCGATCCTTCACATGACCCCCCGTGAATAACACGTAATTTCCGTGAGAGAAAACACCAAAATAGATCGCCCGCCCATTGACAGATCATCCAGGTTTTCGACTGGCTGATCATCACTTTCCGCGTATCATTGAGCCATTTTTATTGGAGCTAGCCTTGGAGAATCACCATTTGAATAATAGGATATATATATATAATTTGATATATAATAGGTAAATCATCGAAATCGAAACGAAGCAATTTGTGCCATAGCTCTGGCACCACCAAATCACCAGAGGGCAACTTTTTCAACTTACAAACTCAGGCCCTTGCAGCCTGGTGAACCAAGGTGCCACATCCCACAGGAAGGTGTACGTCCTGAAAGAAATGGCTTGTGCTTGGAAAAACCCAATTAGCTTGCCATGTTTCTACGGCAAATTTCTGGTGATATACTGGAGATATAGTTCTGATATAGTGGATAATTTTAATCTAGTTAAATACTTAAGTAATGGAGAATAATGAAGATACAATAGGGACTCAACATATATGTAACCAACAAAAAAAGTACTTGGTGATGTAATTATAATTTGAATGTAATGGTTATGTAATTGGGATCTAATGGGATACCATTGCAATATAATGGGGATATACTGGGGAGGATACCCTAATTTTGAGAAAACTGTAGATGCAAAGAGAAAAGATCATGGCCAAGGTAAATAGTGAGCACATGGGGTGTACTGCACTTTTATGCAGTCTCTTCAGATGCTTGAAGCAATTTGGACGTCAACTACGCACAACCAAAATTGTGTATCGCCTGTTGAAGGAAGGTTGGACCAGCTCAAGTTCGGAGAAAATTCACCCGTTTTCCAACCCTCTCCCTCACGTGCAATAGCTATAGGGAATATCCCCAAGTTAGGGAACCAAATCTGTCGTATTCACGGCTTGAATCCGATGGGAAACAAGTGGTTATAAGGCAAAACCCTGGCACCTGGATGCTACCTAAAATAGCTGGTCAATAGATGTTGATTCCCCTAAATATGGTAGTAATAAGTAATAAATGCATCCCCAAGTGAAAGTCAGACTTCAAAAACACTTAACTTCAGAGTTCGTTTCTCTAGCCCGGTGATACTTAAATTGCTCGCACTCGAATTTCCAAGTTTCTCAAGCAAAAATCACCATATCACCATATGATTGTCCGCCTTATTGCATCCCCGAAGTCTCAGCGTTGATCTGGACCATCCACATATTCACCCTGCTGAGCTATGACAATTCAACCCTGGCACCTTGCTGAAATGAATAAAATAACTAGTAATTAGCCTCTGGTAAAGGTTTACATAGCTATGGGAAATCACTCTCTTTTCATAGGTAAATCAACTATTTCAATCCATGTTCATCCCTGAAAACTGTTTGGAAGCCATTACCCTCCTGTAATTTAAGTGCCATAGCGAACTGGAAGCCATGGCCCATAGAAATAGACAGTAAAAACCTAACAGAAATGGTTGAAATGATGATTTCCCATAGAAAAATGTTGGTTTGCTGGAGGTATCGGGTTTCCCATAGCCACATTTTATCACCCGTATGCCTGGCTGTCTGAAAATTCGAGCGGGACATCCTCAAGATTCGATGCTTCAGAACCTCCGTTAACATGTTGATAAATTCGCTTACCCTCTGGTAAACTAACATAGCCATGGAAAGTCACCATCTTTTATAGGTAAATCAACTATTTCAATGGGCCATTTTCAATAGCTATGTTAAATTACCAGAGGGTATCCTATCCCAATCTTGCACGAACCCAAATATCAGGACGAACCCAAAATCTCATATCAAGTTGGTTGTTAAATGTTCGTAAAATATCCCCATAAAATGGCAGGTAATCACGTTGACTTGGTTGTATCCCATGATAGGCTAAATATCCCCATCAAATGCTGATCCCACAAAATATTGATGAATATGGATAAATATGCCTCTCAAATATTTATAGATGTGTTTTCCTTCACCCATCATTGGTTCCTATAAATGTCCCAGTGTTCCGTAAGGTCTCCAAAAGGCCGTCTCCCCGTGCCAGGCGTCAGGAGCAAATCGGCTGCCCTCTCCGCAGCGTCCAGCCAGGAAGTGTCCCCAGTGGCCTCGAGGCCGCCGTGAAAAATAGGACTTGGAAGACCTCAAATGTGCTTAAGAACATGTACGAACAATAATGTTGGGATTAGATTATAATCCACTTTATCATTGATTTATGATCCACTTAATGATTCTGGATTGGTTTAAGGGAAAAATCACAGGAAACAGCCAAAATTCCTAGGAAAATCTATGGTTTCCTGTAGATTTTCCCTTGAGCAAATCCATTGGTTAACAATAAAATCAAGAAAATACTGACTTGTGTAGAATGTCATGTCGATGTTGAAAATGGGACTTGGAGTTATCAGAAAAAAATAGTTGTTAGTATGGAGGTGGGAACAGTATAACATGGAAAAGGTTGATAGAAATAAAACTAGCTATATAAAATGTAGAGTGTTCCATTGCTGTGTTCATAGCAATAAATGAATGGGAGTTGGATGATAGTTATAGCATGTTATAGCTATGATAATTCAAATCGGAATAATGGATATTTCAATAATTAATGTAAAGCTTATGGAAGTTTAAAATAATGTTGTTTCCGAATACTGTAATAGATAATTGTCGTATATGTCATGTATTCCAAATAAACTACAGTTGTGAATTATAATGGCTATTACTGACATAAACTTGTGGACAATATCTCAATGGCCTATTTAGTTTCATCATTTACCTATCAAACTTGTTGATTTTCCATAAATATTGACTGGCTTGCGGGTGCAATTGGGGTTATTGATAGGTATGTCAGGTATGTCCATGGTAGTAATCCCAAAAATTGCTGATTGGATATGGGTTTGTCTGAGAAATTGAGGGAGACACCCCAAATTGATAGTTTAGAACCTCATGTTCCGCATTGAATGGACAATTTGGGGTATACCAGATGGTCAGACACGTAAATCTGGAAGTTCCCCAATCATAAACGGCTAGTCTATGGGTTACCAACAACCACTTGATGGTGCATCTAAGCAATGCAGTGGTCAGCAACCATAATGTTCGGCATATGCACATGCATTTGACATTGTAATGGCAAAAGTATCTCTGCGTTTGCATTTGCGTATGTAAATAATGGTATATGTAATTGTGTGTCTGTGTGTATATGGGTGTGTCTGAAAATAGTGTACCCCTAAACCCAATGGTTAATGATCATTATCCCTATTAAATGGCTATAATTGGGAATATACCCTATTTTCAGACAAACCCATATGCAGATGGATATGCAGAAACGGCTGAAAAATGTTACCCCCAACCTGCACAAATAGAGTGAGGCTTCTCTGTTCCAGAGGAACTCCAGTGCTGCCAAACAATTTACCCTCTGGTTATGTCAACAGTTTGCTATTGAAAATGAGCCATTTATAGTGAGTTTTCCCATTAAAAATGGTGATTTTCCATAGCTATGTTAGTTTACCAGAGGGTAACCCTCTTCCACTTGATGTTGCTTGGAATAATCAGTTTAATCATTTTAATCGTTCAAAGTCAGATGGGCCCACCCAAAACTGGCCAAAATCGTTGACGACCAGCTTAAATCAATAAATGTTGATGAATTAAAAGTCGACACCCCAAAGGTTGTTTGGCAATTTCAAAATTCAATCATCACCCAACGACGGCATCAACTTTTGTGGCACCGGGCCGGACTCTGACTGTTAGCATTGGAAAACGCCAAGGAGCTTCATAAAGGGCCAGGAAAGCTTGAAATCCTTAGGCGTTTTGGACGTTTTGACAACTCCAAGGGATTCACAGCAAAACATGGCAGGGCTAGGATCAATGCTGGCATCTACTAGCTACCCTCTGGTAATTTAACATAGCTATTGAAAATGGCCATTTATAGTGAGTTTTCCCATTAATAGCATGGTGATTTTCCATAGTTATGTTAAATTACCAGAGGGTAAAGTGGGCACAAAAGTGCGAATCAAAGATGTGCTGGAGTCTTCTTACGTGGCAATATGGCCCTCGCGGGTTGCTGAACTTTCTTAGGACGGTGTGCTGAAGATGGCCCAACTTCCAGGTTGCCACTGCACAAAAATCCTTCCATGTGCAAAGATATACTTAAACTGCCCAATCCAAGCATTAGCCACTTGATGTCCCATGAATATCTGCTACTTCCAGGTTAAATCAAGTTAAATCCGCATATGTTTGTCAGTGTTTATCAGACTAAAATCCGCAAAACATTTGTCTAGCCATCCATGTCTCGAAATGTTCCCAAGTTTTTTGTTGTTAATTACATGCCAATAAATCCCATCATATCCCCATTTTCCTATTATCTTGTGTGTGTGTGTCTGTGTTAAATCCAAATATGTTCTAGGTTTAATCCCATTCTCCGTACATGAAACATCCCCAAGGCCCCGGAAATGAATAGATCCAATACTAAACGAGGGTCTGTAAGTTGGTGTTTCATATGAATGGGGGAAGGGATGATATTCAAACATAGACACTGAACCTGATTTTCAAGTTGATGTTAACAATTCATATGGAAAAATCCTAGAACCCCAACATCCCATATTTGAGGGAAGGCAGACCCTGGATACTTCACGCATGAAGCCACCCCGTCTGGTCCCAGGAACCAGCCCATAAGCCTTCCTTATCCTCGCAGCGGGCATCTAGGGTGCCGCCCCACAGCGTCTTCACAGTACTGGCGAAATGTTTCCCCGCTTTCAGCGCAACCTGGAAGCAAGGCTGGATGTGTCTGAGAACGGGAATTACTACCTCCCATTTTATGATATACCTCTCATATACCTTGAATATACCATATAATATACCTTGAATGTACCTGTAATATACCTCTATCTAATACACCTTTCATCAATGGCCATTTCAGGAACCTAAACTGGAGGTACCTACCATATATAAGGCCTGTGTAAGGGCTATGTAAGAATATCCCCACAGAATATGGCCTAAAAAATGGTACTAACGTACATCCATTTTAGGATCCTGAAATTCGCATTGATTTTATGTACCATTTAATATACCTTGAGTATACCTTTGACATACCATTTTATTGGTGATGCAATATGCTCAATATACCTTTAATATACCTTTCTTGGCTATTTAATTTGCCTTTAATATACCAATCTATTATCACTGAAATTATTTTCAATAGACCTTGAATATACCTTTCAAATACCATCTAATACACCTCGAGTATACCTTTCATTTACCATTTGATGGAAAAACAGAAAAACTTAAGAAAACCAACAAAAACAATTTTGAAAGAAGATAGTAGAATGCAAACATTCTGAAACATGCCAGATGGTAGACAATAGACATGCTGAGCGATAAAAAAATACGGACAAGGAATGAAAGACAACAACAAAAAACAAAAACAATCAAAAAACCAACCAGAATCCCTGACTGATGTCAAAAGTGTTGATTTCTTGGGGGTTTCCTTGAGTTTTTTGTATGTGTTTTGTTTTGTTGATTTTTGCAGGTAAAAGTTGGTTTTGACGCTGAATGGCTCCAGATTTTAGGAGAAAAGGCAGACGACGAAGGGCAGGCGACGCCGAGAAAAAAAAAATGAAAAAACTGTACCCCACAGAACTATGCCTGGCTCTGGGCATGGTTGCCTAGACCTAGTTGTTTTTGTTTTTTTTTTTCTTTTTTTTTGTTTTTTTCGTAAAATCAAAAACCAAAACTGTTGACTTCAGGCAGGGATTCTGTTTGTTTTTTGGGGTTTTTGCTTTTCGTTTCCATCTTGGTTAGTTCATTACATATATAGACATATGATATCCCTCTTGAAACTACTGCCCAAATTTAAACTTGGTAGGTACCTAAGGAGAGGTACCATATAGTACCCATGTGTATATATATATATGTTTAATATATATATACAGTATATGTATATATATACATCATCTACATGAAGGTTCATGGTCCACTTGACAACTTGATCCACAAGTTGGATACCTCCAAGCCATGAACGTGGCACCTCCAAGAAGCGTGGCTCGCGGTGTAAGGAGGCGCCCAAGGTCAAGGGTAGAACCAGAAAGGCCTCTTGCGCCGACGTAGGAGCCCAGTCATCATCCTCCAGACCTGCGAGCCGAGGTTCGGGTGAAAAATGAAATGAATGTTGTTTAAAATAATGGCTTTAAGACGGAAGATTGATTTATCGGAAGGACGTTCAAAAAAAAACAGCATCGTTGGCTCGCGGCCCATTTTCTTCAGGATGTTCATGCCCCCCATGCCCCCGTGCGTGTTTATCGTTGGAAGATTGGAGCTTCAAACCTCAAATTCCATACTGCGTAGCGCTTGTCTTAGAATCCAAAAGGGGGAGTCGTTCTGAATCCTGCAGATATTCAAATGTTCGTGACTCAAAAGCACTTCACAACTCCAAGAATCATCAAGAATGTATGAAAATCCACAGCTTCCGGTCAGTTTGGGTGTCAAAACACCCAATTCTCAAGATCCTTCAACCCCCCAATTGTTTGCATCCCAAACGTCGAGGTGCGGGCAGCGTGAACCTCGCATGCTTTCCTCGGCTTTTTGTATAGAATCGTGGGAATAGAGCCTATCAGATGATTCCCAGAGAATTCACACGATCAAAGTACCTAGGTTTACTAGCTATTAGAACATCTAGCGGAGACAGTCATCTTGGACAATCTAATCAAAATACTGGTACGATCAGAGTCCCCAAGATTGGAAAATACATCTAGTACACCTATATATATATATACACTGTATACATATATATATACTGTAAATGGCAGCACGTCTGCAATGATGATAGTTCCAAAGACAATGAAAGAAAGAAGATACCAATCCCTGTCAAATCGTCCAGGTCACGCACTGCAAACTGCCTTTTCCAGGCTGAGCTTCAAGGTCGTTCCAGGCACGGCAAATGTCCAAAATGGACCAAGCAGGAAGGCAGAAGCTCGGGCTTCTATAGGCAAATGGATATGGATTCCCTGATCCAATATGTGGTCCCGGCCACAGCAACCAAATGGCTAAAGACGTTCTAAGATCCACTGCCCTCCCGCTACCAGGGCTCGCCTGAGCCAGTACGTCTAACCAAGAAACCTGGTGAGGACCCGCTGCATGCTGGATGGTATGGTTGTGGTGGTAAATGGTCAAATCACACTCCCAAAAATCCTTTTTTTTGGAAAAACAGGAAATTTTTCAGTTCAAGGATCTTCGGTGATTTCGGCATGTGGTTGGTTTTGATGTTCACGCATGTCTTGGTTGTTGTTTTGCTTGGATTGTTGTTTCAACCATTGGATTCGATCTCTGGTCTTGGCACGTTCTTTGAGAGTGGCTGTTTCATCATGAAGTTTATAAAAGCCATGACTCAAGGTTTCTCGAAGGAATCGAGCTTCCATCGCCTTTGTCAAGCAGTCCGCAAGCTGAGCTCCTGTATGAACCCAACGGAGATTGATCCCTTCCCTGAGTATTTCCTTTATTGACCGTGCAACCAATTGTACCCGAAATTCTGAGCAAGATGGGGGAGCTGTGCGAGTAATTAAATCATAAAGACTTTTACAATCAGTGACCGCTAAGTCTGAATCCTGGGAAATGGTGGATACTGAAATGGCGGGTTCTATTTTACATAGGGCTTCTTCGGGTTTATGCCATTCAGTTTTGGGATCATGCAACCACTTCCAATACAGGCGGAGCCATGAAAGCTGGTCAAGGGCAGAGGCCAACGATGCTGTCTCAGCAGAGAGAGTGCTCGTCACTACCCGTTGGATCTTCTTACTTCCCCACATCAATGGTGAAATTGGGCACTCAATATTTTTCGAGATGTCTTGATGAGTTGCAACTGTAATACTACCTGCATATGAGTTAGGTTTATTATGTGATGCAAAGGATGCATCAGAGAAAGTCATGAATCGCAGGTCTTGATGGGAAATCGGCTTTATAGTGATGGTCACATCATGATGTCTCTTGGCTTCGTGCAGCAATCGGTTGGCTTCCATCATGGTTTCGATGGTCCCAGTGTTGATACTGGACTGCAGGCTGGAAAGGCGATTCGCTAAATCTGGTCGAGTGTTGGTCGAGGCATACTGCAAGGATCCCACAAGGCCACGGAGATGACCCTTTTCTTTGTCATTCAGCGTCAGGTTGGGTTGAGTTTTTCGTTGAAAGTCTATTGGAATTGGTGTAATTTTCCGAATGTAATTGGATTGACTCATGGAAATGCTGTGGTCACCATGTTGTGTGATGTCTATTCCTGTGAATGTGAATGCGCTGGTTTTCTTGGATCCAAATGCAAACTTGGCTTCCAGTTTCTGCAAAACCTGTTGGAACTTTTCATTGCCTCCACCAATGCCATCGTCCACATGGACGCCGAGTACGCCAACAATAGCCCCTTGGGCTGGAGATTTTCGTGCTGGAGCCGGCTCATTCCCATGGGGAATTACTGAATCTTCTCGGAGCACAAAGACGCATGGATCAAAAGGACAGGCTTCCATCCCTAGTCGAATGAGTTCTTTGACCAAGGCACAATACCATAGGTATGGGGCATCAATCAATCCATACGCACTCTTATTTAATCTGGTGATTTCATTTGGAGACAGATTGAGAGCTTCCCTGAGTTCGCTTACGGGGTCAACAGCTATCAATCGATTTTCTTGGGGTTGTCCCTGAAGAAATGCTGCTTTAATATCAAATGATTGAAGCTTCCATGCATGGGATGCAATCAGTTGTAATATCACCATTCTCGAAGATCTACTTAATGTGGGGCTATCCCTTGGTATATCTTCTATTTGAGGATCCATGTAACCAAGTACCACAATCCGAGCCTTTGCTTTGTGTGTTCGACCCTGGTTGGCACTAGAGTCGGTAGGATCTAGAGGCTTCCAATTCAAAATCCGTCGACAACGTAGGATTTGGTCGTGTGGTACCTGATCTCGGAGCATCTTTGTCAAGGTTTCAGTTTTGAGCCAATTGTTGACTTCGGACTGCTTGGCGGCTGCAAACTCCAGACGCTCACTCTCTGTCAACTCAGACAACCGAACTTCACTCTTCTGCTTTTTGGATTGCGTTGCCAGGAGAGTCCACGCTTCTTCAGGGCTTGGTTCTTGATGGAGAAATTCTTCGGGGGAGTTAATTTCAACTTCACACTTCCATGCGTATCTTGTGGCATCTGTCTCCATCAATGCGCATGCTGGTTCATGACATGTGTGAAAAAGAAGTTCATCGGTGTCCTCTTGGGTTGACTCTGGGCGGCTGTCTGCTTCGGGTTCGTGATCTGGTTGGGCAATGGTCTCACTTTCTGTGCTTGGCAGATATGTTACTGGTGGCTCCTCTGGTAGGTTATTTGGGATTATTTCATTGTTAGGGATTACAATCTCTTCTTCTGGAATTGACTGCATGGGTTGGTTGATGGTTATCCGATTGATTTGTTGTTGAATCTGAGTGAGATCATCTGGGAGTTCAGGCCCTGTGGGCTGCCCTTCCTCTGGCAGAGCTAGTCGTGTGTTTTCAGGTGCACTGCGAAACAATTTTCCCCCTACCGTGGTCCAAATAGTATGGTTACCATCCTGGACTATTACCCTTTGGGGTCCTATCCATCCCTTCTTTTGGGGTCCTATGGTACGCCATATCATTACCCATTGACCCCGGTGATAGTGTCCTCTGGACGGACATGACCTTCTGAGAAAGGATCGTCGGAGGGCATCGCTGTTGTCTGCCATGTGGAAGGCCTGCCGGGCTAGCTCTCGGATCTTTAATTGCTGTCGAAATGACTCAGCTGACAGGTCATTGTCTTCCTGGAGAGCTGCCGTGTGTGCAGGAATTGAGGCATCGCTCAGCACTGAGCCTGGCAACCTACTTTGCTTTCCAAAGACCATAATCTCAGGACTATACCCCCGGTGGATTACCATTGAGTTCTTTGCCTGGGTACATTGATTAAGGGCCATTTGGAGGTCTCGATAATTCTTGATGGGCATATCCAAGTCGATTTTTGAAAGCATATGTTGCAAGAAACTACCGTGTCTTTCGATGGTTCCATTCTGCCAATGGGCTTCAGGACATGTTGTGGTGCATTTGATTGACATTCTTTGGGCAAACTGCAGGAATTCCTCACTGTTGAGCTCAGTGCCAGAATCTACCTTCAGCTCCTGTGGGCTCCCGGCCCAATTGATCCAGTGTTGATGAATCAAGCTGATCACATCTTTGGATGTGTGGGCAGGGGCAATGAACGCCACATGAAAGTGTGTTCCGGCATCAACAATGTGATATAGTTGAAAACTCTCTCCCGCACGATTGGTCCACTTGATTCCATCTAGATATATTCGATAGTTAAAATCCAACAGTTCCTTCAAATGACTCGGTCGTTGATGCTTGGGAGCTGCATGGGCTGCGCACACCGAACATTTCAGTTCAGCAGCTGCTCTGACCATTTCTGGCCTCTGACCATTGGCCTGCAAGGCCTTTGCCAATCTTTCATTGGAAGGGTGACCTAAATTGCGGTGCATTTGCAACAACTGTGTCTGTTCCCACTTTGGCAATGCCTGAAACTGCGACGATTGATCTTTTCGGCAAACTTCATGACTGTGGTCAGGGACCGGCTTCGTGGTGGCATCAGGACAGGTTTCACTGTCTCGTGGTGCAGGTTTAGAGCTTGCTGGTGCGCCCGGATGCGGCGGCATTGATTGGTAATTCTCCCGTGGCTGGGCTTGGTGGTCACTGTTGGACGGCTGCTCACTTGGATTGGATGGCATTCCAGTTTCATCTTCTCTGTCGAGTTCGGGGGAACTATTCGGGTTGTAGGGATTATTATCTGAGTTCCTTAAGTTACCTGGAAGGTTATTGAGATCATCATGGGGATTATTGAGGTTCTCATTGTCTTGGATGTTACGGTGATGGCTTTCTTCAGGTCGATCCTGTGCAAACACAGTGCAGTTGATGCGGCAAGCATGTGCTGGTCGGATTAGTTGACGATTTGACAGATTATCCCATTTCTCCCATTCCTTCTCATACTGGATTACCCCTGATGGTCGTAAAATCATGATGGTTCGTCGATAGGGAGCTGTTTCCTTTTGCAAATGATCTGGTGGACCCATGGTTCGATCAGTTCCCCTGCATGCTATGGCCGTGATGATGGTCTTGTCGGGAGACACCTGTTGCAACTTTTGCAATATGTTGCTCTCTTGAATTTCACGGCGACCAACCCTGGGCAGGATATTTTGCAAATCATGAAACAGGTTCTGACACAGTTCGATAGCTACCGGTGAGCTTTGCTTCCCATCCAATCGCCGTCTCTTGACACTCCCTTCACTGTTGTCCATTGGTGTCAACAGTTGGGACTTGGCAAAACTGGCTCTGCCGCGGAATGCACGGGACTTGATCACCGATGAGGCTTTCCCTGCAAGCACTGGAACTTCCTGGGCTTTCCCTGTGAGGAGCATGCCATATTGCCATCGAAATGGCCATGTGTGTCGAGCATGAGTCCATGTCTTGGCTATCAACCTAGCAAACTTTCGAGGATACACTTCAGTGAACTGGGTTCTAAGCATATTACATCCCTGATGGTTGATAGACCCTTCAATTGGTTGGTGAACATGGTCCCCTGTGCAAGTTAATCCGTGGAGGGCCCGGAAAGTTGGTTCATGGGTGGTGAGGATTTGCATTCCCTTCTTCATGTGATTATTGGTTTTGGGGTCTTTGAGGTCTCCCGCCTTGCACATGTCGAACTGGCAGCATTGGGTATGCTGATGCAATTCAGTTAGTCCCGGATGCAACATCATGAGGGACCTTTGCGGCTGTTCCCAGTGGAAGTGCAACCCTTTTGATATTTGGTGTCTGTACAACACAATTCCTAGGGCAATCTGGTCTCTGTGCTCATGACGCACCTGTTGATACCTGGCTTGATGCTCCATCGATCGGCTTGCATTCAACGCTGACCAGGATGACCATGGGCCACAAACAGGTGAATACCAAAGGTGTTTTGGTGTATGTCTGCACAGGTTCTGAAACAAGGCTGCTCGTCCTGTTGTGGTGGCCAAATCACCCTGTTCCAGGCCATGCCGGAACGCTTGACTACCCAGATTCTGAACTTGCTGAGTTAATGGGGATTCCCGACTGCAAAACACCTCACCTAACATGTATGGCTTGCCCATCGGTCGGTGGGTCATGCTGATGTCGTCGAGTTCTTTGGAAAACTGTCGAATCAGCTTTTGGAGATCACCTACATCATGATGGACAGTGTTACAATCATGAGCAATCAACTCAGCATCGGAGGAGCCTACTGCTGGTTTTGGTCCCCAGCTCTGTCTTCCAGGTGACGAATCACCTTGGTGAGTGCATCCTCCATGTTCAACAATCGTTGCTGTACAGCTAGAAAATCCGGATCCTGGCTCAGTGGTGGTGGGTCCATAATCCCCGTGTTGTACATCTCGAATTCCTGATCCTCTTCTTCCTCCACCGGAACGGGAGTGCCAATGTATCGAGCATATCGGGCTGCTGGTCGAACTTTTGCTTTGGGCAGGGTGGATTTGTTGCCAGAATGATCGCTTGTCCCGTCGGAATATCCAGCTAGGGAATCTCGGGGTGGCATCACTGGAATGGCCTTCTGAGCCTGTTCGTGCTCCTCCACCTTGAGCTCGACGAAGCGAATCAGGCGACGGTGTGTCAACACCCTGCTCGATCCGTACTTGGTCACCATGAAGTTGATCCACTGCTGATCTTCCCAGGCCTTCTCGTAAGTGTCCCCCACATGCTTCTGCCCGAAGCTGACCTTCTCCTTTGCCAGCTCTGCTAGAGTCAGGGCACTGAGGTCGGGAAGTTCCACTGGGATCTCTTCCTGAAGGGTTTTCAGGCGGTTGATCAGCGAGGCCATGGCACGAATCTTCACGTCCGAAAGTCACCTGATGGGTGGAGCTTTGAACCGGGATCTCACTGATGCCGGCACTGTGAAAGTTCATCTCCGACGCAGGATCTTCGAACTCTGAGACGGTGGAAACCATTTGATCATTGTTTTCTACCCCAGGCATGTGATTTTCATGTGGTGTGTTGATGGTTACTGATTCGGATGCTGATGGCACTTGGCTGGCTTCTGATTTTTCGTCGGGAGCAGTCATGAACGTGTCCTGCACAAACTTCGTTGACAGTGTTCGGGCTCCCTGATCGGCTTCAGCAGCTTTGATGATATCATTCAAATTAACTAGAAACAAACCCCTTGGAGTCAGTTCTAGAGGAACCTGGTGGCTCAACTGCGGGCTGATCAGGCGTTGTGCAAAACAATCGATCTGAGCTCGGATGGCACGCATGAACGTGTTGCTGATAAGGAAAGGTGTGCCGCCTGGAACAATGGCGATCTTGAGTCTCAGCTTGCCAACGGGTACCACTAGTGCTTGCTGGCTGGTTAAAGTACCCTGATTACCAAACTTAAAGGTAATTTGACATGGACACCTACTTAATTTGGCACGGACTTCCTCATCCAAGCTGCGAATTAAGCATGCCACATGATTTGAACCGATGACTGTCTTGGAAGCTCCCAGGTCCAGCACTCCGAATGCATCATGGGTGGCAAAACAAATTGGATGATCGGTTTGATTTGTTTCATCTTGCATGTCCAAACTCTTCTCAATAACAAGTGGCATGACAGTTCCTTTACCTACCTGGGCACCATGTGACATGTCATGATTCTTGGACAAAAGGGCTGGTTCGGCATCAACTACATTCGATTGGGTTCTACCTGCATCATTGGTTGAAAGTCGGTTGATGGCCTCACTCCTGAGGCGGTGGCGGAGTCGTTCTCTGGCAGTGGTCCCATGTCCCATGAATCCATTATCCCAAGTATAGCCACGATATCTAAATTCACCCAGAATTCTACCCCGATAACTATACTTCTTTGGCATTCCCTGGGATACACAAACAAAACTGCTAGCCAAAATAGGTTTAGGCTCATCGAGTCTGGTCTCAGGCAACTCCATGAACTCCAGAGGTAAGCTATCCATGGCCCCCATCGTCACCACGGTCGTGGTCGGAGCAGTGGATGCTTTGGCATCTGATCCAGTGGAGCGAGATTGATCCCTCATTGGGCACTCACTACGCCAATGGCCACGCTGGCCGCAAATCCGACAGTTGGAATTGAGAATACGATCTTGCAAGGTCCTACGACCCCCTCCAGTGTTGTAAGAGGATTTCCCCTTACCACCTTTGAAACCATATCCCTTTCCCTTGTAAGGCTTTGCGGGGAAAAATCCACGATTGCGGAACTTTTCAGCCAGCTTGTGTCGCGCCTGTTGATAGGCACTGAATGCCGTTGCCAGTTCTGGATCATCCTGAACTGTGTCCATAGCAGCTGCTTCAAAGTCTGAGATCAAGAGGGCATCTGGGTCTCCGTCATTGGCCAGGCTGTCGATGAAGTCTTGTTCTGAAACTTCATCCGTTGTAGTCAAAGCTTGATCTCCTTCAGCATGGTTGTCAGACGAGGCGGCATCCTCTGTCATCAGAACTGCATTGTCGTAAATCTTCGATCGTTGAACCTTCTTACCCGTGAGATCCTGGAAAAATGCGGCTCCCAGAATCCGGATGGCTTCATGGACCTTTGCTGTTGTCAAAGTCCCTGACTGTTCACTGTCTAGGATCACCTTTTTCTTCTCATCGGCTGACAGTTGAGATCCACGAAGAACCACATAGGCCTGTAAATCGGCCATTGTCATCTTCCTCGAGAGAAGGCGGCTCCACAGTATGTCAGCCCGAGCCAAATAACTGTCATTGGCTTCATCCTGCTTCTGCAGGGTGTGATACAGAGCCTGTTCAGCGTCCTCATATTGACGTTCAAGGGCGATCTTGCCCCAAGCTCCACCTAAGTAGCCAATCAGTTTCTTGACGGCCTCATCACCTTCACAGGCTAGAAGTTCTTCCTGATGAAGTTCCAACTTCTGGAATGCAGTCCCTTTGCAACCCAAGATCAGTCTTGTAATCAATTCCGTCATGCGATTCTTGGGCCATGCTGCTGCTACCAACTGAACTTTCTGCTGAAACACTTGTAACTCATCAGTTGCCGGATCAAAACTCGGCACCAACGACGCCAACTGATTGCTCACCCCTGTGCCATTAGAGGCTTCCGGTGTTGCCATGTTGTTGTCGCCCCGGATGCTCCTTCACGGAGCTCCGCTACCAATGTAAATGGCATCACGTCTGCAATGATGATAGTTCCAAAGACAATGAAAGAAAGAAGATACCAATCCCTGTCAAATCGTCCAGGTCACGCACTGCAAACTGTCTTTTCCAGGCTGAGCTTCAAGGTCGTTCCAGGCACGGCAAATGTCCAAAATGGACCAAGCAGGAAGGCAGAAGCTCGGGCTTCTATAGGCAAATGGATATGGATTCCCTGATCCAATATGTGGTCCCGGCCACAGCAACCAAATGGCTAAAGACGTTCTAAGATCCACTGCCCTCCCGCTACCAGGGCTCGCCTGAGCCAGTACGTCTAACCAAGAAACCTGGTGAGGACCCACTGCATGCTGGATGGTATGGTTGTGGTGGTAAATGGTCAAATCACAATATACATATATATATATATTATATTATAAATTATATATATATATATATTCTAGTGTAATAACTAGGTTGAAACCTCAAATTATATGACTTCTAAGACTTTCCAAGAGTTGAGGGAGCCAATCCTTCTCAACGTGACAACGTGAGGAACCACAGCTCGGACAAATGAAGTGGTACCAGTTCCCTATCTGGGTAAGGTGAATCCCTTCCCCTATGCATGTTATACACCCCAGAAACCATAGTGGATGTAGGGGAAATCACACATAGGGGACCAAAAAAAATCATGGGTGTTTCATATTGGGGGGATGGCATTTATGTTCTCAATCACTGGGTATCAATGGATCCAATGCCTGCCAATTGCTTGTATTCAATGGATCGTGACATTTCGGGACTGCTCGAGAAATATCAACTTAGCTAACTATGGGGCACCACCTTGTGTTAAATAACCCATGGTAATTTTAATGTTATAATGTTATAATTATGTTATAATAGTATATCTCTATAAATTGATGATATATGATACCCTCTGGTAATGACATTCACAGTTCGCTATAGAAAATCACGTTTTTTTTAAGTTCGGTAGACCATCTATTTCGATTAGGGCCATGGCTTCCATAGCTATGTTAGTTTACCAGAGGGTAGTTAGGAGCCACTAGCAATTTTCCCCATTGACACCCAATCAGTGGGACGACTATGCGACTTTGAGCCAGTCCCACTTCAGCAGCTCTCAGATTGTTGGGAACTTCCCAAAGCATCCTGGGAAAATCCCCAAACTAAATGGGCATATGGACATCTATGGGGAAATCATCCAAACTATACCGCAAGCCATCTTTGATTACCAAAGGGTTTGTCCCATTATTATCCAATGAAATCCCATATCTATATCCTCATATCCCCATGAATCCCTGTTGGTTAAACATGAGATTTCCATTGATCCAGTCTGCCACATTTCCACCACGTGCAGGTCTCCAGATTCAAGTCACAAATGAAAGGCGTCCCAAAGCGATGTATTGACCCCACGGCTACGGCCCACCGCGATGGCACGAGCAAAGTTACCTCATTGCTGCGGTGGTTTCCAGGTGCCAAGATGGTCATCCAATGGCATCCATGTCATGTGACCCAAAAGCTCCAAGGAATTTCTGCAAGTTGTACCATGAAAAAAAACCTCTTTATGAGTAACGTGGGAACATAGCCAGGGTCAAGCCATTTGGGTGTTTGGATGTATTTGGTTTGTCATCCATCCCATGATGAAAATCCTAAGGTTTGTCATCCATCCCATGATGAAAATATATGGACATCCTAACATCATGGCGTTTTTATCCAAAATCCCTATGAAAATATGGCTTGGTTGATTCCCATCCCCCAAACCGGGCGATTTGCCCAAGTTTTGACCATGGGAAAGCCATGGCAACCGAGCGACCCATCGCTTGCCCTTGCGACACCAAGTCCATCCTGCAGCTTTCGCGGAGCCCGGAAGGAGTTTTGGAGCACCATTGGGGCAGCAGCTAGGACATCGCCAAAAAAAATGGAACAAAAACGTGTGGATCATGCGGCTTGGTCTGAAAATGTTGGGAAAATCCTCCCAATTTTGATGGTGGAAAATCACCATTTTCACCATGAAATTGCCCTTTTTTTTCGGGGGTAGCAACGTCCTACCCATGTCTTTCGCCACGATCCTCCAAGATGTCCAGTGCGAACCAGCCCCAGGGCCCAGATCCAATCAATACGGTAAAGATTAGATAGGTATTTGGTGAATGGGAATATAATCGGAATATATATATATGGCAGTGTGTCAAAACCTTGTACCCCTGGTGAACATCAAAATAGCTGGTAAATGGATGTTCATCCCCCTAAAAATGGTATTAATAGGTATTGATCCATACCCATATAACGGTAATATTGGATAAATCTGATTGTAACTTATCCAGATGCTTCAAAAATGAGCATTGAGATTATAGTTCGCGTTGACTCTTGGACTGAGCTTTCAATCCACGCCCCAGGCAATTTCAGGTTGTCGTTGTGAAACTTCAGCCTCCTCGTTCTCAAAATCCCTTCAGCCCCACGCTTCGTGCCTCTTTTTTGAGCACTTCTGTATATTCTAGAAGGAACCCAGCTCCCAGTTCCACTTCTTCACCCCCACCACTAGCGCAGCCCCACCAGCACCCGGCCTCGCACGACCAACGCCCTCCTCCCAAACGCCGGTGCTCCCGTTCAAGGCCAACATGAAGCCGTTCGCTTTGAAGGGCGCCTTTCGATCAAGGACATGGGATTCTAGGATCCAAATCTGGTGGGATTTCTTGCAGTTGAACCCATTGAACCCGTTCTAGAAAAGATTTTCAACAACACCTGGCGGATATTTTTCAGTAAGGTAACAGAAGGTAAAAATGTTTTGCCACTAGTACGCAGATTGCACCAAGAATAGTGGATACTTGAGCAAAAATGACGCCAAATACCCGTACAGACTGCATGGGTGTGTCCACGAATTTTGGGATGGAACATGACAGCGTGACTTGGAAAAGCATCTGGGTGGCGGCAAACTAGCATGCAAAAAGATATGAAAAATCATTGGATTTGTGTATGCTATCCAGCATCAAGGAAAATTCTATCCAGCATCAAGGAAAATGTTGTTGCCGAAACAAACATCAAACCAAAAACATTGAGCGAGCTAGCATCCAACCATCACATTCCCTGCTCAACCCAAAAATCAGCGTTGAAGCTTCAAATACATGGGGCTTGTCTCAAAATATGGTACCCCATCCGCTGCTCAATCATCGCTATCTTCACTATTCAATGAGATAAGAGGTATATAATATCCCATGTTCACTTCCTCATCCATTTCAGTGTTGAAATCCCCCATAAATGCATCAGTTTGGTTGCTTCAACCTCCATTTTCCCATGATTTCCAGGGCCCCACCATAAATCTCAGGCCATCCGTCCCTCCACCCCAGTCCTGCGCCAAAACGTCCAGGCTGCGTATGCCCAGCTGAGCCAGCTCGGGGCGACCCAAGGTGGAGGCCAAAACCTGCAGCTTCTGCGAAGCCCCACAACTGGTGAGCTAAGTTTGTTTTTAACTGACTTAACTGGCTTCACTCTTGGGTTTATGATACTTATAAAATGATAAAATGATGACAACTATCGTTTCATGGTGGGTTATGATACTTATAAAATGGTGATAGCTATCGTTCATGATAGTTTACTCCAACATTTATGGACCACACAGAACTCTGCGAATTCTCGCGCCTGAAAGGCGTATCCAGGCGCTTCCGCCTGCCCGGCCCATCCCATGGCATAGATCTCGCGTCCTCAGATGCGCTGGGTTTATGTCCCGTGCACTTGTGAAAGAGATGATATATGGTAATTTAACAGTATATCATGTTAAATAACCCATGGTAATTTTAATGTTATAATATGTTATAATATGTTATAATATGTTATAATATGTTATAATAGTATATCTATAAATTGATGATATATGATACCATCTGGTTATGACTAACAGTTTGCCATGGAAAATCACCATGAAATTTAAAGATTGGTAAACCATCTATGAATCTATGGGCCATGGCTTCCATGGCAAACTGTTAAATAACCAGAGGGTATTGATATCAAGAAAGATTTAGGAATTGTATCCTGGGTGTATCTTAACAACTTCCCAACAAATTAGCAGGTCATCTCGCATACCCAAAGCTTGTCGCTCAGGGATACCCACAAAAATTGCCATTGTGATGGGGAAAATCATGATGAGTTGCATATTTTGACACAACCCCGGATCCTTTTTGCAAGGTGAAGTTGGGTGAGGTTTTGCATGAACATCGAACCTCTAAAGCTTCCGAATAATGTCCTGAAATGATCTGAAATGTAGAAAAATAGATGCAGGGTGTGGTACAGGCTGTGTACCATTATCCTATCATTTTGACAATACTGACGCCATCATTTTTGGAAACCATGACCCTTGTGTGGGACTCAATTTCTGATGAAACAAAAAAAACATCGATCTGACAGCTGACCCAAATAATGTCGGTCTTCCTCAAAAGCAGCGGACTCACAAATGGATACACGTATAATACTTGGCATCACTACTTAGGTGCTTCATCCTGGTGGGATATCTGTCCATTAAGCAGGGTAAGTACCCTCTGGTAATTTCACATAGATATGGAAAATCACCATGCTATTAATGGGTACATCCACTATTTCAATGACCATTTTCAATAGTTTTTTGTATGTTTACCAGAGGGTAGAGTTAGTCCAGTCACAGGTCGAGCCCATCCCAACTTTGGGGATCGATCCTAGGCCAGGGTCGATCGCTGCTCCCAAACATGTCGAAGCCCGGGAGGCCATTCGACTCTCGCCATCTGCGGAGGGCATATTCAACCTCAAAGGAGCTTCAAAATGGGTTTGTTTGAAAATAGTGTACCCCAAAAAAAAACAATGGTTTTGCTGATCATTATCCCTATTTTTTATGGCTATAATTGGGGGTATACCCCATTTTCAGACATACCCAAATGGGGAAGCCAGGGATTTAGGGGAACCACAAACCCAGAAAAAGGCACCAACTTTAACCAACGGTTCTTCTGATGCCTTCAACTTTGAGGGGTTACCCTGCTCTATCCATGGCTTTAAGTAACTCCCACCTGCATCCGCACCACTCCCACGACTGATCCCAAGCAGCTTTGGAATGCAGGATCGATGTGAAACATGGAAGCCCCGAAGTGTCCTGAGGCCCACGTGAAGCTGTGCAGTTTCCCACCCAGTTGACCTCCACAGCCCTTAGGTTGGAACCTATATTTTTGAGAGGTGCCAACAGCATAACCAAGACCAGGCCTTTTTCAAGGTATCCTTTGAACGACCATTGGAACTCTGACAAGACTCAAGATTGGCCCGTGCCAGTGCAAAGTTCAACAAGGATCGAAAGCCATCGCCTTTCGCTCCAGATTCGGACGCAGGACCCACTTGAAGATAATAACCTCGGCGGGAAGTGGGCACGGTGAAGCTGATTGGTAATATCAACGTTGAGGTTGACTGAAAATCGGAGATGTGAAATACCTATAATCCTATTATAATACCCATAAATACCTCCCGTAAGACGGCTTTGGTACTGGATTTCTTCATTTTTGGTATTGTGGTTGGGGGATGGACTTCCTTGATCATCATTTTCGTGTTCCCTTTGAATCCCTATTTGGGCGTCTCCATTTCGGTGCAAACCATTGAAACTTCCAGTGCTTTCAACCGCTTCTGCCACTTGGGATGCCATAGGCTGGAGGAAAATCCCAATGGGACTCGCTGGATGGGGAGTGAGTGAAGTTGCAACCCGAATGAGACGTGGTCGTTGGCTACCCTCTGGTAAACGTTTACATGACTATGGAAAATCACCATTTTTAATGGGTAAATCCACTATCCCTAGCCATTTTCAATAGCAAACTGTTAAATTACCAGAGGCTATGGCCATTTGCAGACCAGAAACTCTTCTGTTGCGTTCCGCCTGTGAAGCCGCACAGAGCTGCTGCTGCCACACAGATGGTGACAACAAGGATGTACCGCATGAATAAAGGGGGATTGATAAAATAACATGCACTAACAAATGGTGATATAATGGGATATAATGATCGAATTAATGGACATTGACGGATTTCACAAGCAGCATATGGGTTTGTCCGAAAATGTTGGGTAAAACACAAATCCGAAGGCTGATTGATCATCATGTTCCCGTTAAAACTGCCATTTCAGGGTATCTCCCAGTTTTCGACAAGCCCACATGTTTCCAAATCGCCATCTTGGCCGAATGGCTGCTATAAAAGACTTGCCAAGAGTGAACAGAAGATTCACAGCATCCCGAATCTGGATCTATCTGGATCTCATGCGTTTTCCACATCATCCCACCTGGAGGAAGTTGCAAACCCACATCCAGCAGGGCGCTGCAGTTGCGCTGACCCGTTTTCATCATGCCATCCTGGGCGCAACGATGCGAAACGCTGGGTGGGTTGACCGGAAAATTTGTTGGGCAGTTTTTAATGGGAACAAAGTTAGGATTGATCAGTTGGTTATGTTTTAAGCAAATCCCAACTGAGTCATTAAAAAAAACATATCCCAATTTGTATCAATTGAATGACTGAGATGGAGTTGCTGTAACTATTTGATGTTGGTGATGAAGATGAACAAATCGTTCCGCCAACAACTGGATGTGAATTCGGGATTGATCCACAGCCAGGTTAACATGGAGATCTCTATTCACATTGGCGTTGGAACAGCTCTTCATCTTCTATCCGTTGCCAAGTGCTTCTAGCTGGTATGCACCTTCCATCCTGTCATATACGTGGTCAAAACCACATGTCGACCTCGAATTCTCCATCAACATACTGAACCGAAGACTGTGACATAGTAGGAATGATTGGTTAATTGCGGTCTTTGCTGAATTTCATTCTGAATGTGCATGGGTCAAAATCATTCAAAATCAACCCATCACTCCTATCTGGGCGGATCAATTTTGCTCAGCAAAGCTGACATCTGTGGTAGATCCCTTAATCTGGCAATGGAGAACCCATGAAAAATGTTGAGAGTTGCGTGCCCCCAACGGTTCTGTGGGATTTACTACCAACCATGCTTGATTATACCTACGGCTATGCTATCCCACTTTGCTGAATATTCCACCGGTTTCAGAATCCCATGCGGGTGAAAAGTTGCACCAGGACTGCTTTCTCAATGATCGCTCTTGATGTGGGAAACGCAATAGAAATCCAACCCCCATTTTACCATGGTTTGGTATTGACCATCCAAAATGGTGGGAACCACCGGCATCGGGTTTACCACGACAAATCATCAAGTACGTCCAATCATTATCGTTGTAAACCCAGTGGCATCAACCAATGATACTGGGGATTCTCGGTAAAAACAACAGCAGATTTCCCATGGCCTCCCATGGTTTCATGGAAACACACCTGCTGCGGTCGCGTCTCATGGCCATTCATGGCTACAGGCCCAGACAGAAGTTGCAGCAACGTGCCCTCCGCGGCCACCTGCAGAGCTGCTTCGGAAAGCTGAATCACTGAGGTCGAGCATTTTACCAGCAAAACATGGTGATCTAATGAGATTTGATACGATTTAATGGAATTCTAGTCAACTTAATGATTGATTTAATGGGAGTTATTGGGATTTCATGGAATTTATCTAGCTAAGTTGGTTGAAATCAGTCGGCAATATCGTAGCTCCGTTGGCTTTATGGTAAATATGTCGAACTAGTTTGATGGATTCATAAACCGAGAAACCAAACTTCTGTCAAAACCTTGGGGGCCGTAGCATAAACCGAGAAACCAAACTTGTGTCAAAACCCTGTGGGTCCCCTGTAGCAAGAGGGTTATCTCCTCCTATCTCCTTCCCCCTGGTAGTCAAACATGGCGATGGACAAATCCTCCATTTACTTCGATGTTCCTCTTGAGACCTCCATCCCCAGACTTTTTCCAGTCACCAGGCATGGCTGGGTGACACCACAGATCCCAGAAACAACATTTGCGGAAAGCTGGCATGCCATGAACCTAGCCACAAAGCAACTGCTACAGGCATGCCATGAACCTGCCCTTGTGAAGCAGTGGAGTTGCCAGCACGGGCACGAGCTTGGAAACGTTTTGCAAAATCCGGCTCTCTTTGCCGCCCAAAGGGGCGGTATATGGTCAATTCTCTCGACTCCATTGAAATCAATATTGCTCGGGTGTTAGCTTGCAGCTGCATCTTCGCTTCATCACCAGCATACACTTTGATGAATGATACCAAAATGATCCAAAATGAGCCCACGAAGGAGTGTCCAAAATGATACCATTTCAACTCCACTGGATCCAATGGCATCAGTTCGTTTGCACGGATGGGGTAGACTTTTGCCATGAGTTCTCCACCATTCCGGGGTTCCATATGTCTTTCCAAAGGCAGCCAGTGTCCCAGGTAGAGCCGCCAAAAACGGAAGGATCGGATGTGTCGCATCATCAAAATGGGGAGATGCTCCGACCTGCCGATCTAAAGAGGCCAAGTGTCAGCGGTTTCAAGGCACCTCACTTGCCACTGGCTCTTTCGGTGGACCAAATTTTCAGGGTGGTGTCATCCGAGCCGCTCACCAGTCGCTGGCCGGTCATGGTCGTGACGCCCGTCAAAACCAGCACCGAATCACCTAGGATTTTTCAGCCTTTTGTGCCATTAGAAACATGGGAAGTACTTAGTTTGTGGGGTTAAACATCACTTTATTTCTGTTCCAATGCTTCCTGCTGGTTTCAGGTTTGTGAATAATTATCTATTCTATTCGGAATTCAAATCCAATCCCTTCAAACAAAAAAAAAACGCTATTTTGTGTGGTCCACCACTCAATGAATGGCGGCCCACTCAATGAGATGCCTCAGATCAAGTCATTGCGTTTTGTTCAAGGAATGGTCGGTGCTGAAGCCCCGTCATTGATCATGGCTAGGGCGGTCCCATGAATCTAAGTGAAAATATTCCACGAATCATACGTCACTGGGTTATGGAAAAAATGTGCTTTAGCTTCTGGTAAACTAATATAGCTATGAAAATCACCACTTTTAATGGACAAAACATAGGACTGAATGGGCCATTTCCATGTGATATGTTAGATTACCAGAGGGTATGTGATATATTACAAACCTGTAATCATAGATATTTTGGTGTGTGGTGTGTATATATATATATATCGCTTCTTAGTCACTTCCCAAACGCTGCCCCAGTGACTGTGATCTTCGAGTTCCACTTGACAGCTCTGCTGCTCCACATCCCACAGGCGACAGCTACGATCCGAGGACCCAGAAGCCAAGTGGCCATCCTGGGCCAGACACAGCTGATGTCGTGGGAAATTTGGGGAAAAACCTGGGAAAACCCTAGGTTTCTAGATGGAAAACCCATAGTTTTTTGTGGAAAACAACCTGAAAACATGGGCAAGCCCGGAGTTTGTTTTCTGGGAATAAAAAACAGTGGTTGCCTGTTAATTTGCCATCATGTCAGTTGAAATAATTGCAGGCCAAAATAAATGGATGGGGTGGCTGGATTCCATCCCTATCCCTTGGTAATCTCCGATTCTTGTTCAATGAATAGGATATGGCTGTTGAGCAGTTGTCGACAGAACTGATGCTTCGAAAAAAGCAATGGCCTATTGTATCCCCATTGATGGTTATCAAAACCTAGTTTATCCCCATTTTAGATGGTCAGATGTTGTATCCATGTTATGCCATGACTTTCTCTGGTGTTGATCCACAACAAGGCTCTGTGAGAAAAGTCAGCGCCCGCACATAAGATTTATGTCCCTCCAAGGTTGCAACGCAGCTCTCTTGGTCGATATTCCAGAGTTTGACTGTCTTGTCCTCTGTGCTAGGTGAAGTGCAGCATTTGGCTAGGAAAGTCATGGCGATGTGATCAATAGTTCCAAACACATGCAGCTAAAATCCGTGAGCAAACATCAAGAAGTATGTGTTTTATGAACGCATAGCGATCATATGCGATCATCATCCGTGATAGAGCCATAAATGATCCATGATCGATTCCATCCACGGGCGCATCAGAACGCATATAATCAGGGCAACAACTTGCCCCGCAAGCTTGGTGAACCACCAATCACTCATCACATTTCTGCAAACATCACATATCGGCAGGTCGGGGTCAAAGCAGCTCGAAGTTGAATAACCCCCATGCAAGTCTAGAAGTAGGTACTTTGAGTAAACAATATCAAACTGTACGAACCATCCCAAGTCATTGACCCATCCCCATGATCATTGGCACCCCAACCCCCTGCGATCATCTCCAGGTCTCCTTAGAGCCACTGGCGACCATGCGCCGCTGTGCGCAAACCGCCACGCACGTCACCGGTCCACCATGGCCCAGCAGAACTGCACGACAGGCTGCTTCGGTGCGATCCCAAAGTCCTTGTCATCCCAAGGAGCCGATGGTTGAAGGTTACCCTCTGGTAAACGTTGATAAACGTTGACATAACTATGGAAAATCACCATTTTTAACGGGAACATCAACTATAAATGGCCATTTTCAATAGCTATGTAAACGTTTACCAGAGGTTAAAGTTGAAGTAATCAAGACATAGGACCGACTACCAGCAGTTTCAAAAAGGATACTTATAGAATATAAATTGAAATTCCTCAAAGATTTCAATGGGATGTCTCTTTCTTATCTGTTCGGGGGAGTCTACACCTTCCAACATGACGAAGATCTGTGGTGGGCCCACAAACCTTCAACATTTCGACATTTCGCTGAACATATCCGGACGAGGTTACGAGCACACCAAAATGTTGTCTTTACTCCCAAAGCTGCCAAAGTCATTAAGATTGTGCCACTTGGCAAACATTAAAAAAAAACACTGACCCACCCCCCATCATATGGGGCCAAGAGTCGCACCGATCGATCATTGCCACCACTCACCAGCAACTCCAACGGTTGACAGCTTTCCACCGCGAGAACTGCATCGCTATGCCCTTGGAACTTCCGCAGTGGTTGCAGCGTCTCCGAGCTCCAGAGGTGAATCTGATGATCTCGGGCGCCAACTGCAAAGGTGCTTCCCAGAACTGCCAAGGATGAAACTCCTGGGATATGAAGCATGGTGGCAGATATCAGAAATTTCCATGGATACCCTCTGGTAAACGTTTACATAGCAATTGAAAATGGCAATGTATGGTTGATTTACCCAGTAAAAACATGTAAAAAAATCCTATTGTTTATAGTTATGTTAGTTTACCAGAGGGTAGGCCCATGGTTCTACCACGTTTTTACCTGTTTTGAAAACTGAACTCAACTGCTTGTCCAGTGTGGCTCCCAGTTGGTCAGTCATATGTCCATCTTGGGCATCCTTACATGTCACCCGGCCTGGTAAACGTTTACATAGCTGTTGAAAATCACCATTTATAGTGGGTAAATCCATTAAAAATGGTGATTTTCCATAGTTATGTAGACGTTTACCAGAGGATAATAATTTCTTTGCCATTCAACATTTCTCTGAAATTGAATGACAGATCGGCACCCAAACTCCTCGGGGAAGACCCTCGATGGCCTGCAAAGGCATCAAGAGATCTACGTTTGAACTCAACTGAGACTGAAGAATTCTGAGTCTGTCGAGAGAAATACCTGGCCCAGAGATCCCACTTTTTGGCAAGTCGAGAAAAATATGGTATTGCAGGATACTTCTCCTTTTTGTCCAAAAGTCCAAAACCAATTCAAGGGAACCATCTGGCCACCCAGCTGGCTTCTTCTTGCAGACATCCCCATTTCTATGTACCTCAATTTTACCCCATCAAAACTGGACATGTGCAGACTCCCCCAGCATTTTCCCCAAAAATCTGCCAACTTCACCCTCAGCCTGTTGGCACTGCAACTGGCCGCTCCAAATCTTCAGGCTCCGGTCCTTGGAGATCGAAAAGACACGTTCCGAATCTTCAGCGCCGTGCCACTCCAACTTCAGGATGCTGTCGCGATGTCCTTCCCGAAGGAAGAATTGGGTAGATGGTAAAGGCTTAAACACTTGGTTGCTGCAAACGAGTCATTGTGATTTAAAAAACGATGATAATTTTAATGTGTGTAAATGATGTTCGTTTACAAAGGTTTCCGTATTTTGGGCGGCTAGATCACTGCAACAGGGAAAGAATCAGGATGAAAACCAACCAAACCTCACTTTGGGGAAGCAGCGACTCTTGCCCACTCGACTAATCGACCCACATTGTGGGCTGGTTTAGGATCTAGCACCGACCATTTTGGGTCAAACAATTTGTTGATCCGTGTTTTGCTAGATTCATACTGGTTGGTGGTTTCAACCCCCCTGAAAATATGAAAGTCAGATTGGATCATCATCCCAACTATTGGGGAAAATAAAAAGTGTTCCAAACCACCAACCAGCATAGCATTCCGAAATGTAGGTTGCTTGTATCACCACAAAATGATGGCTTATCCTAATACTTCAGAACTCCCCTGGCAAACACCACATGACTTCAGCCACCCCCAGTGCTCCTTGCGCTTCCGCCAGGCACTTCCCAGTGTCAATGCTCCAGCGTTTCAGGCAGCCCCCATCAGAGCCGCTGATCACATCCGCGCCGTTGCAGCACAGGGCCGTCACCGCATCCTTGGGGTATGCCTGGCGAAGGACCGTATGGCCATACGCATCTTCAGCACTTGCAAAATCTGTCAGATCTCTCCAAGTCTATGTGTATATCTATATGTATAATATATATATATATATATGTATGTATGTATATATATATGTATACATATATATATATATATACATATATATATATATATAAGTGCTCAGGTCTCATTTTTCCACACCTGCATTGCTAGTCACACATCGCCACAGCGATCCATCAGTTGTGGATGGCCGTGGGGGGGAGTGGTTCGGGAGTTCTTGAGCGGTTGGAAAGTGTCGACAGTCGTACTTGCAAGTCAAGTGCTCAGGTCTCATTTTTCCACACCTGCATTGCTAGTCACACATCGCCACAGCGATCCATCAGTACCCACTCTACCCAAACTTTCCACCGATTTCGGCCATCCACAAACGTCCCCAGGTTTTTGTAGGCAGCTGTAACTCACTACACTGCTGCGCCCATCTCAAAACAGCTGGAAAACAAGAGGCTAAGGCTAGCACGTGCTCTCGTTGTTTTGAGCTGAGCTTCATCATATACTGGAGTGCACCAACCTCCTGTATATAAATTTCAGCCGTTTTCGCCGTTGCCCATCGGCCACGGCGACGCACCAGTTCTGCATCTTCGCAGCTATGGAGCAGCCAGGTGGCACCTCCCGCACGCAGGGATCCAGGATCACAAACTTTCGAAGTTCCAGGTAAAACAGAGCCCACGCCAATTCTCTGGAGAACTTGGCGAAACCTAGTTCGAAAAGTCTGGCCAGACATAGGCCACAAAGCATGATCCCATGGTAGATGTCTAAACGCAAGGACAACTACCTCCAGCATGTCGGGTACATCCAATTTGGCACATTGGTGCCTCGCCACAGTGAACCTAGTTTTTGGCTCAGGTATTGAGAGTAATGCAAATCTTTGTGAATACCCAACGTCCGCAGGCAGCATCAAATCACAACGCTTTGCACCCAAAAACTCTCCAGGTCGCAGCAAGGCACCAAAAGAGAGCGCCAATCCACCAGCAAACGAAGTCCACCCCCAACATAGGGAAACTGTCAGCATAGCTAGCAAAAGTTGCCAGGGCATGGCCAGGTGATGAGTAGGCTTCTCATCACGCACCCAAGCGAAAGCAAGGTCCCAAGCACCTTGCAAGGAACGTCTTATGGCAGGTCTGTAAGCAGAGACGGCATTGACAGTCTCTGCGTAGTGGTTGTAGGGTCTGCCCCCAAAGTACAAGCATCTACCGTACCTATTCAGAAGATCGTTAATCTGCTGCAGATGTCTCTGAGGTTCATGGAAAATAGTTAGAGGTTGAACACCAATGGTCTCCAGCCAGTGAAAAAACTGTTGCAGCAACTTTTCTCGATTCTCTGAAGTTACAGGCAGCACAGGCCGACCCGCAGGCAAAGGCGGTCGGCCCCTTCTCCAGGTAGCTCTGCTGATATCTCCAGGGTTACGAGGCACAAATCCAGAAGTCTCCATGGCTAAAACTGAACCGTACCTACCGAGGAAAAAGCATCCTAGCCAGACTCTCGCAAAGGCTTTGTGAGGCAGGAGAAAGAGGAGGAAGGGAATGGAGAAGTGCAAAGCAAAGTCCACAGGACCCTCCCCAGGGTAGCCCAAGGTGGCATCAAAATCCATGCCAAAGTCCAACCCCGGTCGAGCAAAACCAGGCTCGGAAGAGACACTACCCTGAGAGGTGGAGATGGAATATGCAGAGACCCTGTAGGTTGATCTGTCAGAAAAGTCCAAGGCGACAGGACCTAACAGGAGCAGCACAAGACGAGCCCAACCAGAAGCCCACTTCCTCAGCCTCGGCATTTGAGAAAGTCTATATATCTCCTCATCAGACCAGCCATGAAGTCCAAGTCCACTACAAGCTTGGCGAACCGCAACATCCCTGGTAGGATCATCCGAAGCATTCAGTCTTGTAGGGACAAAAGGCAGCGACAGGTAGAGACCAACACAAAGACACAGTGCGCCCAGCTTCCTCAAAACTGCTGTCAAACGGTGGGAAGAAGACCTACCTTTTGAAGCTGAACATCTGGTCACTACGGAATCCACCATGCAAACTGCCCGTAAACTTCTCTTCCGCAAAGCCAAATGAAGCGCCAACTTGTAAACTGACTGAAGCTCAAAAAGGTTTATGTGGTCAGCCTTCCTATGGGGCCAGGATTGGACAACTTCCCACTTTGCAGTCTGCGCAACCTCATTGACAAATTGGCTCTCCAACCCATGGACTTTCAAGTCATCAAGCTGTTTAAACTTCTCTCTCAGTCTGTTCACCCCACGCACCAAAACTTCTGCAAGAGCTTCTGCAAGACGAGGTGTATATATGGCAGAACCTAAGGTATACTTCCCTTGTACCAAAACATGCTGGTGGCTTCCATCACAACGCACTGAAAGAGGCTCCAAGTCTGCATGCACACCCAAAAACCGAAAACTCTTCAAATGGATTGAACCAAAAGCGCAAGAGTCGGTCCTGCAAGAACTAGCACTGGGATGTCTCTCAATGCTCTTCCAGCTAGGCATATTCTTCATCTTGGACGTGTAGGGTGTCTCTAAAATGCCAGTGACTTCTTCCACCAGCCCAGCCCACATCATCTGAAAACTGCGGTGCGCAAGAGTATTTCCATCAGCTGTCTGAGGGTCATCAACTTGAAAGCCAAAGGGAAAATCCACATCACGCAAGGCTGGTCTTCTCATGATGGAAAAGGTTGTGCAAGGAGGCTCCACCATAAAACTCTTCACCCTTTTCTCAGAAACCATGAAGAGGAGCCAGGAGGCAACATGCGTCCATGCTACATTGAACTCATCGGAGCGAGACAAGTCAATAGGGCAGCAAACTTTAAGGCCTCTTGCTGCGACAGCTGCTGTAACTCGGCCAGACCCCGCAAAAACTTCCACGAAGTCAAACTGCAGAGCTAGTGGCCTTTGTGGCGATACCAGATGCCTGTCCGCCTCTTCAGAGACTTCCTCATGAATGCCCAACCGTTGCAAAACCAGTTCTGCAGGGGTCTGCAGCCTAGTATATGCCCCCTTCGTACGGGAACATCTCCAAAGCATCTGAGCAACGCGAGGTTCAACTACCGCACTGCAAAAGGCGCCTTTCTCCATGGAGGCATCACTGCAGAAAATCTCAGGCATGTACTCTGCATTCAGCTCTGAGCAGGCAAGTGGAGAGAGGACTGCAAGTAGAGTAAGTTCCTCAGCAACCTTCCTAGGTAGAGGCACCAAGACAGGTTTGTTGACATCGATGGAGTCTGCCTTCACCAGCTTGAAACTATCTTGCAGTATCCCCATGAGGGCCCGTCTATAAACCAAAGCTGAAGTCCACCCACCAAGAAGACACAAGCGCAGGCTATCTGAGGTATGGCTAAGCTGTGCAACATGAAGTGACATCACCGAAAGGCCATATCTTTTCTCGGGCGGCGCCCCAACAGTGCCAACACCCAACTGAGCAGCCTTTTTTGATGAGTTCAAGTAGGCTCCAACAACTTTGCCCTCATCGACTCCATAGACATCTTTCTGTGGGGAGCCCTCAAGTTTGTAAACGACCTATCCCCAAGCGGGTCTGATTTCCGGTCCTCCACACTGATAGCGAAGAAGTCATCAATGCAGAGGCCATGAACATCCATAAGAGAAGGCAAAGGGCGATCAGAGACCATCCTAACGCCAGGTGAGAGCAAGCCAAAATCACGTAGCAAGTTTGCATGAGACTGTGTTGCCAGCTCCACTCCAAGATGATCACCCTGCAAAATTGACTTGAAGGAAACCAGTACTTGGTCATCCAAGCTAGAAAACCGCTGCCGTAGTGATGTACCAAGACCGTCGCCACGAAAAACGCGAGGCTGCTTCTTCTTGAGTTTCTCCCCCAACGCCAGAGTCTTTGCTGCATCCAAATCCCTCACCAAGGAAAAAGGCAAAGCAGGGCATATGCTGTTTGAAACCGCACGAGCATCTGACGACCAAAACTGGTGGTAAAAATCACGTCTGTCAGTCACCGAAATAGACAGCCGCTGTTGCTTCGGTTGCACATAAAGCTCCAAAAAATCAGGCCCATTCGGAAGAGTCTTCGATGCAGACTGCAGCCTCCCCTCAGTGAAGTTCCTGCCTCGCCGATCACCTATCTGGCGATCCCACACAGAGTCTTTCAGGCAGTTGAAGATCCTCGTAAGCTCATGAGGTGCTTCTTTTTCAAGGTCAGTCTTGTGGAGAAAGAGCAGCCCTTTTGCATCCCAAAGTCTGGCAAGTTTGGCAACTTCGCAAGCAGGATCACGCTTTAGGTGAAAGGCACTAAGGTCAACACCAGACAAATCATACTGCAGAACATCTGGAAACCTATAGGCCATGGAAAGGTCATCATCGAGAAAAGGAGTTGCGTCAAAGTGACCTCTCCCTACCACCTTCAGCCTTGCAACATCCAAGCTTCTGTAAGGCTCCAAACCATCAATGCCAGTATCATCCAACGGGACGTCATGACCTGGAAACATTCGGTCATATGGCCCCCCTGTAGCCCCCAGCTTCGTAAGGACTTCAGAAAGCTCATTGACCCTTGCACTTAATTGAGGAAAACGCCGGCCACTGGAAGCAACATCAAAAACTCCACTAGGGCCGTCTGCCAACATGAGGCACTTCCATCTTGCAAACATGCTGCGGTGCAGAGATGAAGGTACCCTCCCAAGCAAGTCTCCACCAAAAAACTTTCCTCCACTCCACCAAAAATTCAAGGCCACAGCCATGACATGAATGACCTGTCTGACAAGTCGATTCCTCCTGGATGAAGAAGAAGTAGCTCGGGGCATCCTATCAAAAGCACCAGGGAACGGTACTGGGATAGGGAAGATGGCAGATGCAGGCTCAGATCGCCTGGGCAGGTGAAATGTGGATCTGAGGAATGCAGCAAAGGAAGTACGAGTCCGGAGGACCCATCTGACAAGGCAAGAAGACCACTTCCAAAAGGAACAGCTCGTTGGCAAAGGAGGAGGTCCATCAGCACATGAATTCAACCTATCATCATCAACCATCGCATCCACTTCAAAATAGATACGGCCAACTCCAGGTGTCATGCAAGGTTTGGGCATAGCAGAGGGCCCACTGTCCAAAAATTGCTCTGTACCTGCACCAGTATTCAGGCAGCTCCTTCGGCTGCCTTCACCTTCTTCGGATAGCGCGTCTTCCTCTTGGGAGAAGCCGTCTCCCCAGCTCCAGGCGCTGCTGTCTGATTTGCATTCGCTTTTGGCTTCGACGCCACTTCTGATTTCTTCGATGTCAGGGTCTCCATGTCTTTGAGATAGGCCAATGTGGTTGCCGCCCAAGAGGCAGGGCACAGCGGCGCGAACGGCCGGCCATGTGGAGACATGGAAACCATACGATCCTGGAACATCTGAACAGGAGGCTCTGCCACTAGGGAAAGGAGGAAGGCCAGGGACCAGTCCCCCTGGTCTATTGCTGACTGCTCCAGGGACACCACAGTGAGGGCAACCAACTCTCTCACCCCAGCCCAATCCTCCGCATTGATTGCATCTACAACATGCCCCATCAACCAAAGTACAAGGCCTGTCTCTCTCTGATGACGGAACCCACCTTGTCGCTCCAGGTACTGCAGCATAGAAAGGCTTTGCAACTCGCTCAGGTTCTGAGGGACAGGCTTCCCTGGGTGGAGACGTCGATGCATCTGCTGCATCAGCTGTAGGTAGAAATTCCCACTGCGGGCTGCCAAATCGCTTTGCATCTTCTCCCTCCGTAAGACCCCACGCGTGCCAGATGTCTGGGAAGAGGAGCTGCTCAAGTTCAAGTCTGACATGCCGTCGGCAGAATGGGCGGCCAAGTGAGCGACCAGTGAAGTCAAAGCCGTACTTTGTTCCACCAAGGCAGCCTCCAAGCTGGAACCACCATGCCCTCCTCTGTCTCCTGCTACAGGACTTTGGCCTTGCTCCTGTTCCACAAGGCCTCTCGCAGATGCTTTTGCCTCCTTGTGTCGAGGAGGAGGTCCCGCCAAAGTGACGGCCTTCTGAACATAGCTCATGCCCAGAGGCAGAGCCGCTGCAGGCTCCAGACCTGCAGAGACAGCAGGCAAAGCTCGGGCGGAGACAGCCTGCTGCCCTGATACATCGTTTGCAGTATACCCCCTCGACTGGCTTTCCAACTGATCCTGCCGAGCCATGAGGACTTGCATCTGGTTGACAAGGACATCGATCTTTTCCATGACGGCAGCTTGCGTAACACGCTTTGGAGCAGCAGCCTTTTTTGTGTCCGCAACCGGAGCACCAGGCACCTTTGGAGGACTCAGGTCTTCTTGAGCTGAGTAAAAAAGGCTACCTCCAAAGGCCAAAGTTCTCATCCATCCTTGCACTCGTGACAGGAAAACATCACCATGAGGAAAGGTATGGGGAGAAGTCACATGGAAAGGCCTGATAGGCTCAGTGGAGTCAGTCACAGGGTCATATTCTCTGATCTGTTGGAGAAGAGCGTCAGCTGCATCAAAAACCTGCACCACGCCCTCAAGACCAATGGCCACCAAGCCTTCATCGGTATCCTCGTAGAGCGAAGCGTTGAAGGTGTCACCGGGCCCAATCAACGACTCACCTGTTTGATGCCCCTCATCAGCTGCAAAAAGGCCTGGAGAAATCATGCCATCAGGCACAGCCAGCAAAAGTCCACCACGTCGGGCAAATAGAGGAACTGCAAAAATCTGACACGCCTCTCCGCTGGCTGAGAGGTCATTTGGCACGTCCAACACTAGCAACGAGGGGTCACCCTCGTGGCTGAACCTGATCCGCTGCTTCTGCATTTGTAAAGAGCTGGGACGCTGATGCCCGCTCCGCAACAGAACGCTTGCACCTCCACAAGGGAGGGGAAACCGTAGTGCAAAGCTCTTGGATCACCACCAACAAACTGATCTCTCTCCTCGATCTTCAGGACACGCACTGGCTGAACAAGCCCAACAGCACGCAGGACAAGGAATTGAGTGTCCCTCAAAGGAATAGGTTCTGGCCCAGAGAGAGCAACTTCACAAAGCAAAGAGATCTTGGCCCAAAACCCTGCTGTGAACGCCCTGCGGATGCGGAACTGGCCGTCCGTCTTTGAAGAGACCAATTTCTTTCCCAACTCAAGTAAGGAAGCAGGTGTATCAGGAGGCCCACTCTCAACCTCAAAGTTCCTGACAGCACCGTACCCAGGCCCTTGGTAATCAGCTTCGACCAACTCCCAATCTTCCAGTCCTCCAACCACACCAAGCCCTGATCCTCTCACTGCCAAGGTAAGACGTTCCAAGCTAGATATCAACTGAAGGACGTCTTGCCTGGTAACCGGTTCACTCATGCAAGTAGGCCTGGATCCTCCTCCGAGCCCTGATCAGGTCAGATTCCTCAAAGGTAGGTGGAGGGGATGAAGCGGTGGAAGGCCAAGTCCAAGGCCGAGACGCAGAAGTCCAATGGAAAGCAAGGGAGAGGAAAAGTCCAAGTCCAAGCAGAAATCCAATGGAAATGCCAGCGACAAGCCAAGGAAGACAGGAAGCGGAGCAATGCAAGGGACAGGATAGCCAATGCGAGAGCTGACCAAGAGCTGACAGGCCCTCAAACAGTCTATGAGTCCACATCTAGTTCTTGAGCGGTTGGAAAGTGTCGACAGTCGTACTTGCAAGTCATATATATATATATGTATGGAAAAAATGCTGACATATACATACACACAGATCACACAGTATCAATAGATAGATATGTGTAAACTATAAACAAAATGGGAAACAAATATGTTTAATGGGTACACTCTCTCTCTCTCTCATTAATCAACACTAACATCTTCCCAAATTCCAACCCCTGCCCCCCCCTTTCGTCGGCCTTCACCGTAGCAGTCGGCAGGCGTTTTTCCAGGCGTTTTTGCGTCACCGCCTCGGATGAAACCTCCAGGGAGCGAGCCAAGGTCGCCAGGTCCAAGGCGATGCCCTGGGCAACCTGGGGCCGATGTTCCAAAAAAAAACTAAGGTTTATTATTAATAAACTAAGGTTGAACTAAGGTTTAGTTTATCAACTAAGGTTTAGTTCATTATCAACTAAGGTTGAGTTTATCCAGGAATATATCAACTAATATGAGTTGAATTACTCATAAAACTGGATCAACTAATATCAACTAAGGTTTCTTAGTGATTAGTCGATGTAACTGTCATTGGTTGATATAACTATAATATTAGTAATATTAACCAATGTTGAGAAATGTGCTGAAAACGGGGTATAAGTACCCAGTTTATCACAATGCTAATGTTGGGAAAATCATTGTTTTCGGGGGTAGCCTATTTTAGAGACAAACCAAGTTGGGTATGGATTAAGACAAACCCAATATTTGGGGGGAACATCGATAAACAACAGCTATCTCGCGGTGAACACAAGGGCTACCGTTTCAGGCGAACGTGAGAAAGTGAGAGGGTTTTGACTCATGGTTACTTTCTGAACAACATCAAATATATGAATCGGTGTAAGGGAGTACAGGCATAGCTGTGTTATAGAGAAGATGGATTTGCAACCAAAGAAATCCCCGATTGTCAATAGTTACAATAGAAATCTATTGTAGTTTATTGATGTTTATTGTAGTTTGTCTACTAAAACTACTAATGTGGGTAAAACAACAATAAGCCATCCCCCAAATCATCATTTTTATAGGTGGTATGGTTGCCATTCCCAGTCATGGGTGGTTTGTGACATTGTTTTACCCACATTAGAACTATTGTTATAGGCATCATTAGAACTATAGTGTACCAATGGAATATTTGTTAGTTTCCCCCATATGGGAATGGTGTCATTAGAATGGGTTATTGGAACTACTATGGGGAATAAACTATGAGAATAAGTAATGTTCATTAATCATTAAAAACAATAGTTATGTACTTATTCTCTGATTATTAATAATGATTCATGAATACCAATAGTAATAGTCATGTTGTTCATTAATCATTAATCACTAATCATCAAAACAATAGTTATTTATGAATTGATGAACAATTCATGATTCATAGTTATTTACCAATGATAGTTGACCACATTAGTTATTGACCAATCCATCTCTTTCCCCACGACGCGCCTCCCGCAACTTCAGCTCCGGCAGCGCCGCCGCCGCGGCGCCCAAGGTCCCGGAGAGCTGCAGCAGTCGCGAAGCGGCCGCGGCCATGGCGAAGCGGCCACGGGTCAAAACGCGACCGAAAACGGTACCCGAAGTCATAGCTGCTATAGCTGGATGTGAATAAAGCCCCAAAATATGGTAAATATGGGTTTTTTGATGGTTAGAAATCCCAGATATGGTAATAGGTTTTGACAAATGTTCAGTTGAAGCCAAGAAAAGTGGGGGATTTTATGGAGGAAAATGTGAGTCGAAGCACGAAAAAAGCTGGATTTGATTGATGGAAATGGGGAGACAACTATAATATGTAATCACACGGACTGATCACAATGGGTTTTGACTGATGTGAGAATGTGGATTCGAAGTGATTCGACCACCATGTAAGTTGGGTTTGAACCAAACAAAAAACAGCTAGGTGCGACGAACATCGTCGAAGATTTGTATCAGAAATCAACCGGGGAAATACCAAGACAACTTGGGGTCGTGGTGGCCGTGATTTTCGGCATCGCAAGTCCCTTCCGATAATCAAGACCACCTTAGAACCCTGGTTTGGAATATATTGATTCCATGAATTTGGAGGTCCCTCATTGATGTTATGTCACATAAGGGAAATGGGATTTGAATGAACACAAATCAAGATCTTTCAGCATCCCATGTGCATTCTAGGCTTTGTCAAAGATCCATAGTGGCAACTCCATTATAATTAATCACATGAGGCCAAAAAAAAACGTCATCAACTTCCTGAGTCCTGCTTGAAACTGGGATTCTCTGAGTGGATTCCTCCAAAAACACCTCACAGCACTGCTCACATTGACATCCGAATTCACCCAGCACCTCGGCACCCATGGACCAATACAAATCCTCTGCGGCGGAGACATGGGGGTGTCTGGTGAGGTGGGGAGTCCCTGACTTGGATAGTCAGGAAAAGCATGGTGAATAAATACATCTGTTAAACTTGGAAATGAGCACCAACGAATTTCAATCGTGGGCGGCTTCAACGGTGGCTGTGTTGCACCAAGAATCATGAAAAATGTGAACAACAGCGCTTGTGAGGGTAAATTATTCAAGTTTGACACCACTATTATTCACATCAACTGGATTATCACATTTTTACACTATTGGTTTATCATCACATTAAGCCCCACTGGAACTTCACTTTGCTGAAGCCGGGGGTGAGCTAGTTCGACTCTACCACCCCGCTATCGTCTTTCGTAAACCGGCGCTCACCGACTGGCGACCTTTGTTCAAATCTATATCTACCCAGTGGTAAACCAACAATTCGCGAACTGGAAAATCACCATGTTTAATGGGTAAATCAACGAACTAAATGGCCATGTTCCAGTTCGCAAACTGTTCAATTACCAGAGGGTATAGTCCATTAAGTGGATTGTAATCCCATTGAAATCCCACTAAATCCCATGAAATCCCACTAAAAATAATGATTATCCCTAACTAACCCCATTAAACCCCATAAAAAATCTGCTCCTCCATCCACTGTCCTTCACGCCGACCATGGAGGGCCAACTCCCAAGCCCAACATGGGCCACGTCATCCAGCTGCAGGTCCACCCAGGGCTGAGGCAGGCGATGCTCCTCCACCTGCCATGGCAGTTTTTCTTCAGGTTACCCTCTGGTAAACAGCCACATAACTATGGCAAATCACAATTTTTTAGGGGAAAATTCACTATAAATGGCTGGAAAACTATGGAAAATCACCATTTTTCATGGGAAAAATCACTATTTTTATGGGCCATGTTCAATAGCAAACTGTTAAATTACCAGAGGGTATTCAATAGTTTCCTATGGAAAATGGCCCATTTCGCTGCTGGATGATTTATGATGATTTATGACGATTTACCTATCAAAAACATGGTGATTTCAGAAACCTGTTAAATGACCAGAGGGTAATCATCCCCAAAACAGGAAATGTGAAGCATCGAGAATTGGAACCCTTGTAGAATTCCAAATTTGGAGCTTCGGAGAATCGGTATCACGGAAGTTGTGTGAAACCAAAAGTTCCTGGGTTCTTACCACCAAAGTTGGAGGCTTCAACATGTAATGACCATGCTTACAGCCACAGAGATGTGGCCAACACTCACTGAATCTGGCCCTTGAAATTTGATGCAAGGTCAGTATCTTCACTTTTATCCAATGGGATGACCAACTCTGTCAAGCTAACTTGGTTTTAAGTGAGTCATGGTGCCAAGCGAGTCATGTTCCGCCAACTCATGTCATCCAATGAAGAGAAGTTCAACTTGGCGCTCGAATGAAAAGAATAACGCCTGTGAAGGTCCTTTTGCACTGCGTGATACCAATTTATAAAAAAGAAAAACAGAATTCATCAGCATCAAAACATGGTCAGCACTGGCATCGGCAACCCAGCAACCTGACACCGGTAAAGACCCACCAGGAACTACTTCGGCCATCTCTAAACCGTGCCCCCAGCCTGCAACCGTTCCTGCACTACCGCACCACGCCACTCAGGAACCACGCCGTCCCAGCCGGAACGCTGCGAAGCGGCACCCGCGGGGTTTCCGTAATACCTTGGGAAGCGCAACGCTTCAGGTCCAACTTTGCCAAGAAAACTTGGGGATTTCCAAACTTTGGGGCCTCATGGTCTTTTTGGGAAGATGATGGACAAAACATGGGAGTTCAACAGAGAAAACTTGACGCTGTGAATGTATATATATATATATGATTATATATGAATGAATGTCAATAAATCCTTTGATTTATCTTACTTTGATATCATATGAATAACTGGTCATTCGTGGTGATTTTGTTTTTTTGCGTTTGGCCTCGATGCTGGTAAAACTGGTTCAGTATCTGCACCTGGTCTGCACAACAATTGAAGTGAACAGAATTGGTAGCCACCAACCTGTTCAACAATGTTGGGGCCACTTCCCATGTAAACCACCATTTGTGTTAGTTTGCGCAAGGTCCTGTCATAATGTTGCCCCTTTTTCCATGGCATAACCTCCCTGTTTCATTTCGCTCGTATATTCATAGTTGTAGCCAGTTATAGCCTGTCCCCTTGTGCCTCCTATCTTGCTTTACGAATTCGGCATCATAAGCATCAGCACCCAGCTGCAGTACACCGGGCATCAGCAATTTGTCGCTGTGACCTTCAACGAGCCACCTGCAACCAGGAGGAGGTCTCATCTGAAGCAGTTTATCCACTCATCAGCCATCACCCGTTGGGCTAAAAGATTCGCTAATTGAATTGGCTTGAGGCAAAATATGCAAGAAATACCGATGCTTGATGGATCGGATGAAACATTGGTTCCTGAAAAAGTTCCCGTAGATCTGGCATAGTATCTTGTGCAAGAAGGGCAACAACAATTTTCTGAAAACAGTACTGATGACACTAATCATAATTCACAGACCTGGTATAAGATGGTTCTGGCATACCCCAAACATAAACCATCATGTAGATTGTGATTTCATTCAGACAGCTCAGCTTGACTATACTTGGATTGCAATCCACAGTACCCAACTGTCCGGTTTTCTTGTGTAGACCAGATAACTCATCCCAATAAGTAGTGTCCCAAGTCTCCTCATTACCAAGTATCCCCGTCAAACCCTGTTCTTCTCATATTTCCCCAAGATAACTTTATCCCCAAATATCTAAATTGTCCCCATGAAATCCCCATATCCCTCCGAAGTATCGTCATTCATCGGGGCTTCAAATTGTTGGCACTTTGACATTCCTGACATTCCCCATTCCATCAAACCATCAAACCACACTAAAATCCCAGTAAATCCCGATTCTTTGGCACTTAACTCCCCTTTTCCACACGGATTCACCTCCCCAGCGCCTCAGGGACAAGACACTGGGCGATGCTCCAGCGCCGAAGGCGGCTTGCCACGCCCAGCTGCGAGTGCCGTGCAACGTGCCCTGCTCGAAGTGCCAGGTGTCGTGGAGGAGCCACACCTGGGACACAGGGGTGAAATGGCTAGTACTACGAGGTCAGAATGGCTTGGCCTTGAACTATCAGGAAACAAAATGCGGAAAAAGTTGGTGCAAGTAGATACAAAATGATCCATTTCAGCCTGGTTGGTTGGTTTTGTGCGCAAGGATTAAGGGAAACCGAATGGGCTTCAAGGTCTTTACGCACAAATCATGTTGAAACCTGTAATTTTGCCCTTATCCAATTCTGGTGCCATGTTTCAGCAAACTTGCCTTGCCCCCCATCTTACCTACAACTTCCGCATTCACCTTAAATCCTTCCTGAAAAACTGAGATCAATGAGATCAAAAATTTCTCCCAAGGCATCCCGCTAACCCTCCTCCGCTGCACAGCCAGGCCACCCCTTCAGACTTCGCTATCTCCACCTCCACCCGCGCTTCCAACCGATCCCCGGTCGTTTCGACCTCCAAACCCTGCGGGAGCACGGGGCCGTGCCACGTGGTGGGCCATCCATGCACCAAGTCCGTTCCCACGGACCAGAAGAGGTCGAACCTCAGGGTCTGGTAAAACGCTGGGATGGAGTTCACGAACAGGTTCGGGGTTAAGATGCACTAACATCTACAACCTCAATCTTGTTGGTTTTATATGCTGTTATCTTCTGTTTCGTTGGCTACCCTCTGGTGATGAAACATGGTTTGCTGCAAAATCCACCGTTTGCTTCGATGATTTTCCCAGTAAGACCTCCATTTAGTTCGGGGATTTAAAACCCAGCCATGTTTGTTTTCCCGAAAGGTAATGGGTTCCAAGCTGCTGGTGATTATTTATCCCCATCCTTTTCTGGCTAAACCATCCATTTCCGGTCCCGAAAAACGCCAAGTCGCGGGCTGGATACCAGCAGCTTGCCAGCAAAACGCAGCTCCGCCCTTTGAGTCGACGGGCACAGTTCGAAGCTCATGGGTCCTTAAGGCAGTGCTCGGTTTTTCATGGGAAAACTGGTAGACCAATGAAAATGGTGATTTAAAGGATATTTTAGCATGGACTTACTCGGCAATGATGGGTATTCGATAGAATTTACCATGCATTTTACATATTTTACAAGGCATTCCTTTTTCGGGAGGAGCTTGCAACAGAGACAGAGAATTGTTTCTGTTCAACGCCAAGCAATTTTTTTCAGTGGGGATAGGGTGAGGACATGATATCTATAGTTTACTAATGTTTACTATGTTGACCTGCAGGTGTTGTCATCTACAAATCATCTAAGATGCGTCATCACTGATTGACCATGCTACGGACGGAATCATAGGCACCCTGCACGATTCCACGATTCTGACCGTGCAATCTGAACGGCCTCATGGCTAAAAATCCCGAATATCTTCATGCGACTCCAACTAACACTATGATTACTATGATGTAGTACCTCTGGACATGTCCGAAATTTGGGACTCCAAAACTCAATGCTTTGCAATATTAGACTATTAAACATTACCTTCAAAGACGACTGTGGCCACATAGTCATCTAATCTGCACTCTTTCAGCACAAGCGTCCATCTTCAATCATCCACCTCTGCTTGCTGAAGATCTGCAACTTGTTCATTTTCCAACTCATCAAATGCAGCGCAAGCGCTAAACAAACCAGACCCAAAGCCGCTGCTCGCCCCACAGCGCTACATCCACGACAGGTTTTCCAGTGCGGACGCATGCGTTGTCAGATCAGCCCAGCATGGCCAACCCAGCACCATGGCATGAGCTGTTGCACCACGGTCTGAATCTGAAAAGATCAATGGCTAAAGGAGAGGAAAGCGAAGATGTCTCAAGTCTCAAGTCGCAAGTGGTGGAGTGGTGGCGAGTCCTTTCATCCATGACTTTTGCTGCACATTGATCAACAAATCACCTAATCTGATAGTCCTTGGAAAAGGTAACACAGTAACTCTGCCCGCCAAAGATGCAACCTGTAGGATTCCACTTTTCGATACTTCGCCCAGGACAAGGTGGCACTGCTGACGTCGAGCTGATTCCAATGAGGCTCTCGTGCAACTTGCACAACCTCGCAAGGAGTCTCTCGCGAGGAGTCTCAATGATTTTTGCTCAATTAGGACTTCCCAAAAATTTCAATGAAAATCCATGTTTTTCAGTTTTTGCCAATCATTTCAGTGAAGATTCTCTTCAAAACCCATCCCAACCTATGGCCAGTATATCACAGTATAGAAATATAATTGAAATATATATATACAATGTTTCCCATCTTTCCTCATCCCCAGTAATCACTAAATTTCATAAATTCTAGTCCAATGTATCAAACATCATCCCCATGTAGCTGCCAACCGCAGCAGAATCACTGCGTAAAGATCCCCTCTGTGAGTCCAAGCCTTCCCCAACGAAACACTCCATCGCATCGTGTTACCCCCTGGCAAATGTCACAGTTTTTGGGCTGATTTCTTGGGGGAATCCACAGAAAATTGCAAAGAAACCATAAGAAACCGCAATCAATAAAGAAATTGAAAAAAAGACACCATCGAACTGGCAAGGAATCCTTTTGTCTGTCGTTTTCGGTCTTCAAAGAGGAATGCACCGAACATATGCCAACAAAAGCCTTGTTTTGTCAGCGCTGCTCCCAGGTTCCTGTCGACCACTTCCAAAACGGAAGAAAGGAAGATCACCTTGGGCCAACTCTACATGGCACTTGTGACCACTTGGCACTTGGGCCTATAGACACAGAGAATGCAAATCCAGGGTTGAAGATGATGCATGCAAGCAATGGTCGCAAGTCTTGCTTCTCTTTGCATAATCAGCACTTCAGACCTCTCGTGGTCCATTGGTGCGTTCAAAGATGAGAAAAAGCATGTCGAAAAAAACAGACTTGGGTTTGTCTGAAAATGGGGCTTTTGGGACATAGCCATAGCAGTATACCATAGTATACCCGCAAAATGCTCATTCAAGAACGAACATGTGGATCAACCATTGGATCATTGGATTCTGGGGGTACCCTGTGTTGCTCGACAACTTTGAGCTCAACACGAGACTCCCGGCGAGAGCTTGAGACCTCAGCACCAAGGACCAATCAAGGCTAGATGCAGTGTTCCACGTCACAGTATGGTCACAGTTGCTGATCTCTCACCATGGATCAATACTTGCATGTGATTGGGTCAAAAACAGAAAAAACGGGGAGCAAACTTTGGATTTTCGGCACCAATTTCTAAACCCTTCATCCATTTCGGACTGCATAAATTACACAGAAGTTCCGTTGCAGCCAAGCAGCCAAGCCCAGCACGTCGCTACCCAAAACCTGCTGGGATGATCCAACTGAAAAATGTGGACCCTTCACTCCTTACGACTGGCATAGAACTTCCTGAAAGTCACCAAAGTATTGGCCAACTTCAGGCATCGTCCCGGAAGTTGGTTTCCCCAACCCCCCACATAGATGGCTTCACCAGTTGTAGCATCTTATAGTTTTAGGTTTTGAAAAAAGTTCCACGATGTTCCACCAAAAAACATCCCCCGGCCTCCGGCTCGCGGCGCTCACGCCTCCGCCATCCCACAGAGCTGTTCCTTCGCGGCTTCGAAGACTCGGCGCAGCAGCTTGGAGTCCAAGCCTTGGCCCAGCGAAACGCTCCAGCGCATCGCACCCGCCTGGGGAGCCCACGGTGGAAAAAATATGGGGGCTGAGTTGTTGGAGAAATCCATAGAAATTTGAAAGAAAACATCAAAACTGGTAGGATCACTGCATTAGAAATGGTAGCAATGCTTGGTGTGGATGTGTGTTTGTGGGAAAATTACCATCAAAATCTGTTGTCGGAATCTGTTGTCTGAATCTTTGAACAGACCGTTAGCAGATGCAAGTGCAATACACCAACAGTACTGCATATGATTCGGAACTTTTCAACATGGGGATCTCTAAACCAGCTGTTGGGCCACCCTGCGAACCTTTCCCATTCTTTCCCATTCTTTCCCATCGCAAATCTCACATGGATCCCTTGAAATTAAAGGTTTCAGTTCAATAATGACAATCGTTATAGAGGAGGTGTTCAATTTGTCACACCTCCAACTGCGCCTTGTTTCCCTCTGAGTGAATCATGCAGCTCACCCCCTCGTATCCATCAAAACGTTGCGCCGTGTAGAGCTTGGCACCCTCTGGGATTTGGCACACACCTGGATGGGATTTTGCTGGCAGTCATGGCATATGTTCAGGATTTCACTACAAATTAATTTGATGTTCAATGTAATTTTATGATATTATATTATATTATATGATACTGAATATTATATGATACTGAATATTATATGATACTGAATATTATATGATACTGAATATTATATGATACTGAATATTATATGATACTGAATTTATGTTGCAAACCCTTTCACAAGAACAAATCAGCTGCAGTTCATTCTTTTGCGACTATGGCGTGTCAGCATGCAAAGTAAACTGCTGGTGGTGAAGGGGATGGCGGTGGGTAAGCGAAACCACACAAATCGTGGGGCACCCACCCACCCTCCCTATTTGAGAGGAAAGTTGCATTCCATCGTAATGCATTTGCAAACATAAGGTGAAGTCTCACGCGACAAACACATTATGTTGCAAACCCTTTCACAAGAACAAATCAGCTGCAGTTCATTCTTTTGCGACTATGGCGTGTCACGAGCTCTGTCACCCCATTCTCAGTGATTCTCGTGACTATGCCATTGAGTAAAGAAAAAGCATCAGCTGAAACATTTTTCGCTCTTTGAAAGATTTCTGCCGACACATCGTTTCTGGAAGGAGGATCTGCAATGTTGCTTTTTGAAGGTACACGTGCCAGCCAAGTGAAAGAATGAATGTTTGATTCCATTTCAGCAAAAAGACCTGCTAGGAGATCCAGTGTGGAGTTGTCGGATGACCCTTTAAGTAAAGAAAACTTGGTTCCTTCATTGTCAACAAAGATCACACAACGCCGATTGCTGAAGCGTTCTTTCCACAGTGCAAAGGCTAAAACCGCGGCAAGGGTCTCTGCTTCAAAGATGATTTGTTTCTTGGACGCTTCACCCAAAGCATTGCGACCATTGCGGTCAACCGGCACAGAGAAGAATTCAAGCTCTCCATCAATACACAAGACTCCACCCAAACCACAAGGCCATATCCTGTCTGTAGGCTCATAGCATGCATCTGTAAAGATGATGACATTCTCTTTGCAAAGTGATTTTATTTCTCTTGGCACGTTGCTCTGCAGCAATTCCCTGAACAAACGCAGAAAGAAGATGTCTTTGGTTTGCAGTTTATGTCTGCGCCCTTCAGCGAAATCACTCAGGACTCTGAGACATCTTCGACCAGTACGGCCGAACATCTGTGCTTCTGCAAACTGCATACGCCCGCGCAATCTCTGCGCTTGCTTCGAGCTCAACACATTACCAGTTATGATCTCTTGGAGATCGTCGCACAGCTCTCGCACCCGGGACTCAGTGTTCTTGACAAACACTGAGCCACGGCAAGAATTGTGTAAGTCAAACATGACACCAAGTGCTTCGCAAAGGTTATCAAACGGTGAACATTTGTCACCTTCTTCTGCAAAAGCCCATCCAAGCAATTTGAACAATGAACTGATGGTGGTCTCTGTACATGTGATCAACGCCGGACTGCTGAAAGCGATGTAATCGTCATAAAATGAAGTCCATAGAATTCTGCAGCCAACGACTCCTATCCACCATATAGCCCGCGCCAAACGCAAGAATGCATGAACACTCCTTATGGCACCAAAAGGAAGCACGAGACTCCTAAAGAGTTGCATGCGGCCAGAGTTAGGGTCAAATACCCTGATACAAGAAAACTTCTTCCCTTCACTGCTCAATGCAACTTGTCTGTATGCGCTCGTTAAATCAAATGTTCTCGCTACCACTGCTGAATTAAGCTCAAGCTCCTCACAAGTATCAAACCACAAAGCAAGCAATGCACACGCTACATCAATGGTGTGAAGGACCGGCGACTCAACTGTCGTGACGCAAGTGTTCACGCCAGATTCTGTATAATCATCTATGAGTCGAACTTTGCCCTTCTTTTGCAACAAGCCGAACCGGCGTGAGATGGGGTGGCTGTCGGGCACCTCGCATTGCTGCAAAGGGCCCAACAGCCAACCCTTCTCAACTTCCTCCAGGGTCTTGGTCCACACAACCTCGTCGATATGACTATCGCCTGACCCCGAGGCTTCTGCAATGAGGTTCGGTCTGATTCTGGCCGCATTTGCACAGAGTTCTTCAACTGTAGAAAGGGCTGGGATGAATTTTCCCGGGAGCATGCCAGTCTCATCAACAGTGCCTGTCAGTTTGGCACCTTGTTTCAATTCGTTTACAACATCCATGTCAGGAAAACTGGTAGACTTCAAAATTTCTTCAAATAAAAGAATTCTCTTGCTGGAAACCGCCCTCGCAACCTCTGGGTCCATGCTTTCTTTCAGCCTCAGTTCATCCTTCGCAAGCTCTTTGGCACGCTTGGCCCAGGTAGCCAAAAATCTGGCTCTTTCCAGCGCAATTTTATGTGCAGGCGTTTTCAGGTTATAATCCACGGCTTCACGCAATTCACATGGTAATGCAAGTGCAACATCAAGCGGATGTTTGGACGTGAGGGCCTGCTCCACAAACTCAACGTCACTCCAGAAAATTCCAAAAACTTTTACACAAACCACGCAAGGAAACGAAAACAATGCAGCATCAACTGAAAAATCACATTCATGAACACTGACATGTAACTTCCTCAAAGTGCACTGCTCATTCACGGCTTTGCAAAGCAGCTGCAGATCATCTCCCCCCACTTGAATTTCATGCAGCAATTTTGAAAGCGGAGGTATGGCCAAGTGGCTTGGCCAAATTTGCAAATCATTGTGCCAGATTGTAACAACACGGTTCTTGTATTCAGGCAAAAATGTTGGAACTTTGGAGGTGCCTGCTTGCAAGTTTGTAAATGCACGCGCACCTTTGTTTAAAGAGAATTGGGCAGTGGGCGCGATCCCTTGCTTCTGTAAGGCAAGAGCAATAGTTTCCGCAAGTGTATCACATAATTGGGTTGGATAGTGCACCTCCAAGGCAGTAGCGAAAACTCGCTTGGACCCTTGCAAGTGAATACCCCATGGTTCGTGCTGATGGTTGCCCGGGCATGTCTTGTCGATCTGTTGAATCTCAGAAAAATTTGCAACCAATTTGGTCCATTTGGGTCGCTTTGATCCATAAGCACATGCCTGGTGCACTTGCTCCACAGAGAGTTCCTGGAAATCACGCTCAACCCAAGGTGTTACCTGCCAGAAAAGTGAGTCCTTGGGGTTTTCACACACAAATAATTTACCCAATTGACAGCACTCCACATATACTTGAGAAACATAGTCATAAAGGATGTTTGATTGTTCCACACGCAAAAAGTTCCAACCAGTCAAGCCATCTACCCCGTCTGGAAATTCCAATGTACGCAAGGGCTGTGGCAGGTTATCCTGTCCTTTCAATTGTATTGTTCGTGCTTTGCTTGCAGTGCCGCAAGGAGGAGCAACGAATACTGCTTTGACCTGTGGTAGTCGAATCCATTCCAAAACAAGCTGTTGTGTTGCATGCTGAGTCAGATCCAGTTTTGTAACCATCACCTTAGGTGACTTTGAAACAATCTTGTCTACAGCTATAACCTCAAAGCCCATTTGTCGCAAAGAGGCGCTAAGGCCAGCCGTTCCACAAAACAACTCAAGCACAACTGCATGAGAACCTTGATCGACACCTCCAACTGCAGGCGGTAGTCATTCATTGGATTTTGGCACTTCGGCAGCATGCGCCTCTTTGAACGGGTGCAGTTTGAAGCATCCGCCCCTAAAGCACACATGGCGACCTTTTGCACATGAACCTCCTGCCGGTGCTTTATTACATCCTGATATATTGTAATCAAAGCAAATAGGTCGATTCTTGGCATCACGACCTACACACCCATGATATCCTTTTGGTGCTGCATTCGAGCCGGAAGTCTTTCCACCTTTGAACTTGCCTTTTCCTTTTCCCTTGGAAGGATTGGGCGGCGGAGCATAGGGTTCACTTCCATGTTTTCGAGTCTGCTGAGATGTATCCTCCCTCATGGCAAACTTCGGCAAGGGAACAAGGTGGAATGCGACGGTATAATCTCTGAGTGCTCTTTCAAGCGATGCATCCAGCGGTCTCACATCGTCAGCACCTGGCCTGATATCTTGTACTTCTTGCGCCATGAAGCTGAACACCTCGCGATCTGCTCGAAGGATCTGCGCCAATGTTGCTGCTTGAAAACCCATTGGCGGTTCCACGCTGAGGTGCTTGAGCAGCTTCTCTGTATATAATTCATGGGCTCTAAAAGAGATTAGATTGGCGAATTCATATGCAAGACCACGCCGTTTGAGGCACTGTGACAAGTGGAAGGTTGTTGAGATCGCTTCGTCAGGAACAGTGCGCGTTTCTTTGATAGCCAAAGTACCCGCATCAAGCTTGAGCTTTTTATCCGATCTTCCAGTGGTGATTTCAAGCTCCCTGCTTGTGCAGCGTTGTGGCTCAACATATTTCAAAACACGTGTCTCAAACTGCGAACAAACCTCATCCAAAAGTGCATGTGAAGGCTCTCCAATTCCATGAATGTTCAATCCTTGAAAACGTCCACGCAACTCATCCATCCTTGCAGTCTTCTCAGCAAATGGCACTGTCTTTGGTGTGCCGGGATCAGGTGATTCCACTGAAGCACGAATGGTTGATGTAAGAACAACTTCACTCTCAAAATGCAAACGCCTCAACGCAGCTGCTGCACCCATAGGTAATGGGACACCATTGTTGATGTCAGTTGCCCAATCATTGAATGCACGCTCCTCAAATTCTGAACCCGGTCTAAACACTGCAAAAGCAAGATGGCCCAATGTTGAAACACCTTGGGCTTTCAACCTATCCAGAAAGTTCCTAGGCAATCCATATTCGGTTGCCCGGGCGATGAAATGTGCCTCGCTGTCTTGGATGCCTGACATCTTGAACCAAACTCCGGTGACAAACACCGAGTGATCAAACTGATAAGTAAAAGAATCAAAGCAACTGAATCCATGTGACATGCCGACAACATCAACCGTGAGGCCCCTAAGACAAGCAATCACAAATCAACAGGAGAGGGAGAAATCAAAAACAACTTAGGAAAAATTGAGGACAAACCTGCATATTCAACGTGAAGAACACGGCAAAAATTTTGGAATGCATACATTCCATCATGTGTGTCATTACATAAATGACAATTGGGCTGGACATACCAGCCTCAATATGCACATTTGCACAACGTTGTTGACAAACAACAACGACACAGGCTGCAACGCCCGTTCTTTTTCATACCACAGGACCTCGCAAGAGGTGATATCAGATGTTGTGCGCAAAGCACGTTCCACATCTAAGGCCTGTCAGTGCAGGCACAGCCACATAGGTCTGACCCAAAGGTCTGCCACATCTGAAGGTGGTTTCATTGCGCTTTTCATGGATGACGTTCGTCTTCACATTGATATACCACTTGACGACCACGCCACCGCGCTTTGGGACTTCTGCATCATCTTCTTCGTCCAAGTCCCATTCAAAGTCTGTGTCCTCACTGGAGTCCGAGCATCCACTGGACTCTTCTTCTGAGCCTGACTGCCAAGCTGTGAGGAGGTCGTGCTGTTCTTCGAGGTCAATGACAGCACCATCCCACTCCAAGTCTGGCCAGACAAATTCCTCTTTGACTGCAGGAGAGTTCACAGCTGTCCCAGGCGAGTAATCATCGTACCCAGCCATGAAACGATCATGCAAGTGCTCCAAGTCCGCTTGTTTGCCGACTTCCTGCACATCTCGAACAAGAGGTTCACCTGCCGCGCCAAAGGGAGTTGCTGCAGCGCCCATAGTGCCCAACACAGGTGCCACTGGAAGAAGTGGCGTAGAAGGAGCACCAGCAGGCGTGGCCCTGGCAGGTGTTATCATGCCGGACCTCGACTTGCCAGGGTGGAATGTTTGTCCCTTGATGGACTGCAAAACCCGCTCAAAGGATCGCAATGCACTGGACAGTAAATCACGTGAGTACAGAACAGTTGCACCTTGCACACTTTTCGCATGCCTAGCAAGGATGGCACGGTGTTCTTCGGAGATGCCCAACTTCGAACACCAAGACAATCCAGTGGCCTTCAACGAATGTGTGGTGATTTTTCGCCCTGCAATGGGCCTACCTCCAGAAGCAAAAATCCTCTTGAGAAATGCGTTCAGCTCTTGGGATGTGATATACCTGTCTTCCCAACCGATGGCTCCGGGCTTTGGTGCCAACAACATTGGCGTGGCTGTGCTACCCGGATCTTTCAAGCCAACCTTGTGTCTCAGCTCCAGGTACTCCTTTGCCCAGCTGTCACCATTAATGCCAACTGCAGGAGCCACGATCGGAAGCAACTTCGACTTCGCGTCCATACTCCTGGCACCCTTGTGCAAGGTTGCGCTCACTTCAATGTAAGCACCCTCAGCGTCAATGAAGAGCTCCGTTACTGCCAGCAAATCACTGAAGCGAGCCCGAGCATACAGCATATGTAGAAGGTGACCAATGAAGATGCGGTCAACCTCGCATACGTTCTGGTCCTTGAAACAGTGGTGCAAAAACTCCACCTCATTCACTGTGAGAACATCAGAGGGATGCCATGGTTTCTTGTTTGCATATAGCTGAGCTGCTAGTCCTTTGACTCTCAAACTTTCCAATACGCTCAGAGCACCGTCCACTTTGAGCACATAATGGCAGAAGCGTATAGACTCCAGAAGACTGACTGCTCTCGAAGCGGGAGCCTTGGTTTCTTTCAAATCGCGCATGTAGGCCCAAACGCGTTGTTCAGAAAATGGGATCCAGGTCTCTGTAAAATTGCGCATCTGCCACTGGTTGAAAAGTTTGATGGCACAAAGTCTTTTGAGTAGTGTACCGGGACTTTTGAGACCGAAGGTGGCGTCAAGCAGCTCTAGCCCATATCTGAAAACATCGGAGAGGCCCTTCTCCTGAACTGCAGCACGGCCCGGGTCACTTGCAGACATGTTCAAACGCAGCAAGTCCCACCATTGATGCAACGCATGTTCTCTTTGAGATGCACGTTCTTCAGTGAATGTACAACCTACAATGTTCTTGACCACGGCCTTGTACAAAGCCGCCTCATGTAGCGTAGTTTGCACTGTCACAGTTCCATCAAGATGAAATCCATCAGAGATACCAATGCCCACGTTGACAAAATTGTTGACCCCTGGATTCAACCTGGGCTTCTTCAATGAAAGGCGTCCTTGCTGTCCAAAGATGCGTCCAAGTCTTCCTTTCTCCCATGGGTACAAAAGCGTCTTTTTGTCTGTAAGACGCAGTGCTTCCGAAACGATCCCAGGAGGTGCAGCTGACGCAACTCGCTCCAACCTGCCAGGTTCCATTTTCGCTGAAGAGGTACCTTTGTCCACAAACTTGACATGGCCTCCAGTATCACGCTGTGCAGCACAGGAACCAGGAAAAACAGGAGGAAAAGTATTTGCGTCCTTTGCACATGATTCCAAGTGTTCAAAATCATCCCATGAATGCATTGGTTCAAATTGTTCACCAGTCATCTCAAACTGAGCACCTGTACTGCCAAAAACGTCATCACCGCTTTCAAGATCTTCTGGCAGACTTACTGGCATAGAAGTTGGACTCTCGTCCGCTGCATTGGCTGCCCCTCCAAACCTGCTCTTCCATCTTTTCCTCATCGTCGATGTCTATGCTCGTAGCAGGAGTGATAGGTGTGACCCTCCTTTCGAGTGCACGCGCTCGCACACCAGCGACAGGTGAAGCCACAACTCCACGGTCTCACCAGGCCCTGCTCGTTGATGGGCCCTGCACTGCCTTGAGCTCCAGAGGTGCCTGTCTCAGGCCTGGAGGTTGCTGGAGCTGACAGGCGTTCTTGCAAAACGCTGGTGATCTCCTGCACTGTCTGAAGGAGGGCACTATTTGAATAACTTTGCCAAGCAATGCACGGAGGCAAATCGCAGCACTTGTCCCCCATAGCTAAGCGAAACCACACAAATCGTGGGGCACCCACCCACCCTCCCTATTTGAGAGGAAAGTTGCATTCCATCGTAATGTATTTGCAAACATAAGGTGAAGTCTCACGCGACAAACACAATTATATGATACTGAATATTATATGATACTGAATATTATATGATACTGAATATTATATGATACTGAATATTATATGATAATATATGATATTATATGATATTATATGATATTATATGATATTATATGATATTATATGATATTATATGATATTATATGATATTATATGATATTATATGATATTATATGATATTATATGATATTATATGATATCTCGGCATCTCACTACGAGTCAATTCGCTGTTGGAAAATGACATCCGAACCCTCTGTCGGGGACAAACTGTGCTAAAAAAACGTCTTCGGTAAATCCAGAATCAGTTCCTACCCACCTTTATCCCACCTTTATCCCACCTAGATTGCTCAACTCGATCGTGGCTTCCGGTGGACCAGCATCAAAGCGTCCTTCAGTCATGGTCAAGGCGGAACGATGAGCCTCACCACGAGCCACTCGCTCTCGAAGCTGACTGGTCCTGGGGTCTTGTTGGCCAACTGCGAGATTTTCCAGGCTGTCTGGGAAAAAACATAGCAACGTTACCCTCTGGTTATGTCAAAATAGCTATTGAAAATGGCAATTTATAGTTGATTTGATTTACCCACTAAAAATTGTAGTTGTCCATACATATGTTAGTTTACCAGAGGGTAAATGGAAAGGTCCAACTTGAATCAAACATGTAATGCATCGGTGGTACGACTAGCACAACTACTACTTGACCGGTGAACGGAAAGATTTGAAAGTCCGAATGTCGGACCGTGAAGAGTGAAGAGTATGGGGCTCAAAACCAACACAATCGGCACATGCCTTTAGCAGTTGGGCAAAAGTTCACAAGTTTGAAACCCAATCAATTTCAACCTCGGAGTATTTTTCCCAAACCCCGTCATTTCAATTGCCTTTTGCCAAATGGTTTCGATCGTTGCATCACCACCATCCGCTGATATCGCCTCTATGGAATCGATCACGGTAACAGTGCCATGTGCTTGTGGCAGTTGTTGGTCGCCAGACTCATCTGTTGGGGACAAATAGCCTGGCATTGTTTGGGATCTCCATTCAACTGGATTGAAAAAAACATCTCCAACGCAAACAGTTTTCGCGTACTCCCAAATTGGATCTCTAAGCCTTAGCTGCAAATGATACAATTTTTTGCGATCTGGGCTGGCAGGTCTTATATAAATCCAACTCATTTCCAAAGTTTGCTGAGGGATTAGTGGCATCTTTTTGGACCGAATTTAAAACACATCAAGTCGCACATCAGTTTCCCTGAAATCCCAGATTGGTGACTTTTCATGAATTAAAGTCTCAGATCATCTTTACCGGTTTTGGAGAGTTTTTTTCCCAGTTTGGTACCTTTTTTTGTCGCCAAGCCAGTTTTTTTCTTGGAAACAAGACCAAACTCTTAAACACCATTCCTAGGACAGATCTATACAGATCTTGAGATCCCAAAGGTTGGGGATCAGCAAATTTGATTCCAGGCCTCTCAAATCCACCAAAACGGAAACAGCAAGATCCCGTGCTTCGCTTCCAGCGTACTCCGCAGCCAGGCAACGCATAAACAGAGCGATCAGAAAACCCGTCAAGGTGGCGCCTTCAGCCTCCACGTTGAGCCTTTGTCTCAGTGACTGTAGGTTGGTGTTCGAAAGGTCAAAACGTAAACATTCATCTCCCTTGGACGAATGTTCCAAACACAACTCCTTGATGTTCAAGATCTGGTTTTTGGAACATAAGTAGGGAGGATCATCATCCCATCTTTCCAATTTTCCCTCGGCCACCATCTCCTTCCAATCTGTGAGAGCGCCCAATTCCTGCCACTTTTTGGAAAACTGCTGGGCAGGCAATGCATTGCTGGCGCAGCCCAGGAAGTGCATCAACGACCGACCATCGCAGATGGCATGATTTGCGTTCACATAGAGCATCACCCCACCATCAGCACCTGAAGGTGAAAACTACGCCCTACAATTGAGGTGCACATCTCATGAGTACCCACCAGTAGACAAACATTACCTATGGGAATTTTCATTGAAATCCCAATGTTTGAGGGTAAACCATCTATAAATGATTTTTTTCCACAACGGGGTTTCATTGACAGAGGTACCCCATTCAAAACTTCAGTCCAGCGTTGAATCACCCCTCACCTGCATCAGTGACTCGGTACGGAAGCAGTCGAAGTGACAGGGGGCCCTCAACCGGAAGCGTCGCACGACAGATTGAATCATCCAAGTACTTCCCAAAATCGTCCAAATGGACTGGCACATCTTGAAGACCAGGTGTTATTGCAACTGATTCTGTATCAGTCAGCAGCATCCAGCGATCGCTGCCATCATGGGAAAGGGCCAAGTGACCCAAGCGACATCTTTCGCAAGCAGCTAGAGCATTCTGGAACGCAGCATCCTTGGTTTCATTTTCCAATACAAGAAGTATTGCAAACCTCACATTGCACGAGGCAAAAAGGTCCTCCAGTGCATTCAATGGACGCTGCGAGGTCATCTTTCAAAATGCATGTTTGCAGCGAGTTTACCCATTGCAGACTCAAACGGAACGAGTTCAAAAATTTTCTGACATTGTACAAAAATAAGAATTTTGTGGTTTCGATTGATCTCGGAGATACCGTGCCTGATGAAGGAAAAGTGTTCACCCTGCTAATGTTGCCATGGACTGTGTGTTTCGTAGAAATGACCCATGTTTTGACACAAAAATAATCACTGCGGTGACGCAACACGTGGCCCCCATCAGTTTTCAATGCTCGAAAACAATTTCGAACTGCACACTCACAACTGTTCTGCATCTCTTGTCAATTGCCATTCTCGGAGACACAAAATCCAAAAATCGAATGTCACCATTTCACAAACACCCACACATTGGTGTTCCTCGGCAATCAGAGTGGCAGTCACCAAACATGCGCATTGGAAAACAACTGGACAAAAATAGGTTGTTCGTCACAAATTCAATTCACAACATGTCGTTGTCGACAAAGGACAACCAATGCCTGAAAGTACAAATTTAAATTCCCCGAGTTGTTTGAATACAATTCGTTTCAAAATCCACCTCGCTTTGCATTTTCCGAAGTACAGTAGTGTGAGGCAATTTCCCATTTTGTAAAGCAGCGCACACTTTTCATCCGAAAGGGCTGCGGCAGCACCCAGTGGTTTCTGTGCGTGTCATCCTTGCTACATGCAGGGGCCATGCTAGCTTACACAAAAGTTTGACACCCCGCCTCAGCTGTGCATCCGTTTGATTGCGCGAGCTGATCTTCAAACTAATCAGGTGTGTCCGGCTCTCAGTGGTTCTTCTTCAGGTTGTAATCCACCATTAGCGCTGCTCGCAAGACCTCCATGTCGATTTTCTCCAGGATGTAGTGGCTCTGAAGCTCGAATCGGGCTTGACATTGGACTTACCAGCGGTCCATGCTCTCGTTCATAAGCTAGAATATGTCGATATTCGTCAGCCCATTGAGCATTGTCCCGGAATGCTTCATCTTCACTTTGGCCTGGGTACCATTCCGACCCATGATGGCTCTCATCATGCTGGGATGGATGTTCCTCATCCTCACTTCCACCTTCACCAACTCGGTCCACTGTTGGTGGTTCTCTCTGCTGGACTACTCTTTCACCAGCATGTCTTAGGATTGCTTCTTGCAGTCCCGGCACATCAGTTGTAATCGCTATTGTGCCTTCGTCTTCACTGCTTGAGTCGCTCCTCCTCAAGCCTCTGATGGCTTCAAGCAGTGCCGAGACATCTCCTCGCACGTTGTGCATCTCCACTGATGTCGAGGCTGCACTTTGCAACAGCACACTGATGCTTCTTTCGGTTCTTGTGGAAGCTTCTCTGGTTGCTGCTTCCAGTTCGTGGATATGTGCATCCAAGTTCGTGAGTCTTTGTTCCACCTCACCTTGGGCTCTCCGTAGTCGCTTGTAGGCCCATCTTGCAAGTAATGCCAGAATGATGATACATGTTGCAATCATCCACATCAGTGGCATTTGCGTCGAACGTGACGGAGTGGTTGGTTCTCCGCACTGAGGTTCCAAGCCCGCTGGCTCAAGCCCTGATTGTGCGACTGCTGATCCTTCTTCAAGCAGCGCTTGCACCAGCAGGATCCGAAATGCCTTGTAGGTTCCTTTGGCATTTGCTTGCTGGATCCTCCTCACTGCTTTCTTGTCCAACTCCTTTTGTTCATCCTCCAGTCTCTCTTGTTCTCCAACTGGATAGTAGTCATTGTGGGTATCCACATAACCCATCAAGTTCAACAACACTTTGTTTTTTTTCTTTCCTTGGCTTTTGTGCTGAGGTCTACGGCGTTTCTCCACGAGCCAACTGGCTTTACCGCGACTTCACCCTTCTGAACAAGTTCTTGCACCCACAGTAATCCACATGAGATGCGGCGTACTCTGCCAACAGGCCAACACCTTGCCTGTGGCAGAAAATGCCCTTGCGCTAGATGAATCGCGTCGGAGTTCCAGCTTGCATTTCCTTCCAGTGATGAACTCAACGCAGTTCTTGAGAAAAGCTCCTTCCGATGCACCTGTTGTCATGGCCACGTACTCGGCCTCACACGACGAAAGCGCAATTGACTTATTCTGACTGCGGGTCAGAGTGTGTAGCAACACTCCAGTCAGGCAAAAGTTGGCGGCTACGCTCACACTTTTCCTTGTGCCGCGATCTGAACCTGCAAAGACTTCCGGTAGATCTTCACCGGTGCTCTGTCTGTCCTCGTCCCGAGGATCAAGCACACTTCTTCCTGCTCTTGGCACGTGGGTTGCATATCCACTTGTACCCTTCAGGTAATAAAGTACCAGGCGTTCAGTGTCTGGTAGTCCGCTCGAGTACGGCATGTCAGTTGACTTGCCAGTACACGTATACAGTGCTGTGCGTCGGGGCCATCAGCACTCATGTCAAGTAACACCCCAACGGCTGTCGCAAACCGTTGCCTTTGTTCACCTGCCAATTCCGGTGAGCCCTCCTCGTAACCAGTTGCCTCTGGAGTTGTTCTTGGTTTCTTCTTCTCCAGGTTGGGCAATTCCACCAACTTGGAGATGTACTTCTCTCCCATCTTGATGGTATATCCCGACTCATCATATTCGTACTTCCTCTGGGGTTGCTGCTAGCTGGATGTCATCCACGTGTACCAAGACGACTCCTTCGACCTGTCCTCAAGCTGATCTCTTTGCAAACAGGTTCTGGCTCAACGCTAGAGATTCGTACTGTTCTTCCTCCAAGGTGTCCTTGAGGAAAAGTCCCCACTCTCTTGTACCTGCCCTTTGGCCAGGCAACAGTTTTTCCAAAACCCAAACTTCATCTTCTTCCAACAGATGTTCGTACCCTCGAGGTGGGTTGACATACACTTTGCTCTTCTGCGGCAACTGCAAAAAGGCGTCCTTCACATCGATGGTCCACAACTGGAACCTTTGCTCACGCATGGCCAGTGCTGCCAGTAGGCGTATTTGGCCTGATGCAATCTTTTTTTTTTGCTCCGGTTTAACCGTTTATGCACTGTGGCACGGTAGAATCATCAAGCACATTTATTGAATTAAGCAAATACATGCAAATGAATTGGTCACCCAGGAAAAAACAACCGAAACCAGACAGTGGAGGAGCCAAAGGAGGGACGAGGCGCACTTCCCCCCGCCCGAAGTGTGTCTCCTCCAGACCATAAAACAACAAAAGAAACCAACAAGGGAACGGGGCCGGGGCCAAACACAAACAACCACATCCAAGGTGACCACTGGTAAAGCTTTGCCTACCTATTGTACATCCACCCCAGAATCAGGTGCAAACGATCCTACCTCGACGGCGGTGAAAAGTCGCTTACGCTATTAACCTGGTGTGAGACCAAATTGAGCTACTTATGGGCATAAACTATACCGTGCCCCTCAAAGTCCTCTCAAATTCCTCTCAGAAGTGCACTTTCCGGGCATCAATCATCAACGCTTACTGCAGTACGCCAGGCATCCAAAGGAGGGCAGAAACCAATCTATGTAGCGAATGAAGGTTAGCGACACCTGGTGTTAGCAGCACAAGCGTAGCCACATAGGGCCGACAGGTCATCGGCCGTAGCACCAAATGCAATTACAGACCCCAGTAATTCATTTCGGTCTGAGTGGTGTTATCCTCAAAGAAGTATGCTCTGGAGTGACAGCATGGGCAGCACACCTTCAGCACTCAGTATGGTGTAGCGGGAAAATTTCCCACACAGGGCCGAAGCCTTTGATGCCATACAAGTGAGGCCCCAACTCCGTCTCCAAAAATCATATCAGTTTGAGGTGCCAAAAACGAACCCAAAACTAGCCCCATGTACCTGCTTATCTTGATCATGACAATCTTTCCCTTTCTGTTATGTTGATGAAAGAGGTACCGGTACCGTATTTCCAAAGCCTGCAATCGAGGCGCTTCGAGGCTCGGCGAGGCCTGGCCGAGGCCACGCCTGGGACGCAAAACGTATTGGCACAAGGACAAAGCGAGGCTCACGGTGGCTCGAGACTGTATAATACTATTGTTGAAGTCCCAGCAAGGCTGAACTTGAAGTAGTTGGCAACTCTGCTGCCTCACTAGAATTTTAGGCCGCAGCTGGCGCAAAGGAGGGCGGGCCCACCCCCTTGGTCGAAGGGAAGCTTGAAGGGGGGGCTTAAGGGGGGCTTAAGGAAGGGGGCTTAAGGAGTCATGAAGGATGCCCCCCCTCCCCCCCCCTTGAAGGGTGGAAGCCCTTAAGGGGCTGAAGGGGAAGCTTAAGGGGAGGGGTGCTTAAGGGGGGCTTAAGGGGAGGCTTAAGGGGGAGCTTAAGGGGAGCTTCAAGGGGGTTTCAACGGAGGCTTAAGGGGGGGCTTAACGGGGGGTTTAAGGGGGGGCTTAAGGGGGCTTAAGGAGGGGCTTAAGGGGGGGCTTCAAGGGAGGCTTCGAAGGGGGCTTCAAGGGGGGCTTCAAGGGGGGTTCAAGGGAGGCTTCCAGGGGGGCTTCAAGGAAGGCTTCAGGGCGGGTTTCAAGGGTGGCTTCAAGGGGTAGCTTACTACTACTACGACTACCACTACGACTAGGACTACGACGACGACTACTACTACGACTACCACTACGACTAGGACGACGACGACGACGAAACGACGACGACGACGACGACGACGACGACTACTACTACCACCCCTTCAGCCCGCCCTTGAAGCCCCCCTTGAAGCTCTCCTTGAGCCTCACCATTAAGCCCCGCTTAATTTTTTCCAACGTCTCATAGCTCTCGCCAGGTCGTTCATCATGCCTGTAAGCCAGTTGCATATTAGCAAATTCAATTAATTGATTCATGCAAAAAGTCATCCATCTTTGCGACGGTGAACTACAAAAGTGAACTGAGGCAGGACCTGTACAAAGCCTTATAAGCTGTCACGATGCCAACAGAAAAAACCAAACAAACCAAACAAAGAAGCAGAACAAGACACAAACCAAAACAAACAAAAACAAAACGAACAAAAGAGGGCAAGGTGATCAGCTGCTTACTGGAGAGGCCCATT